TGAGACAAGTCTTGTCTTCCGTATCAGTAAAAGTGGGCGACGGATTCGATCAGATAAGGCACGTGATCGTATATTCCGGATAATCGCAATTTGATGCATGCTGCAATGAGGGGAAACGAAGATGTGAGAGATACGGTCGGAGAAGGTGCGATATCAATGAGAGGAAAGGCTTTCTTCACTAACATGACTTCGGGCCCGGGTAATCTCCTGTGGTCAACTGAGTCGTGTACGGCGGGTTACGGAAAACTATTTTTCGCAGGAATAACGATCCCGCTTGTACATGATAAATATTTACATTCCTTCCATCATTAATTCCGGAGTTAGCGCCTGAAAAGTATTGCACGGGTTTCAAAAGAAGATAGAAAGGAAAACAGTCGATTTTGTTCGATGATACTGTTGCATTTATCGTTTCACGCTTAAAAAATTATTTCCACTCAGTATAGGTATGTTAACCGCCCTCGAGTTCCTTTAAAAACGAACCCGCAAAATCTCAATAGAATATCCTTTTATATTCCTCTAGATAATTTAACCATTATCTTTCTTTTTTTTTGACGAAACGTCCCTCGACAAAGTCACAATTACTTCCTAAACGTCTGAATGTCAACCGCTGTTATTTTGCAACCCTTGCTCCTTGCTACAGTATCATACGACATCCTCCTCTCTCACGCATAGGCTTGGAGTGGAATTTTTTTCTGGAGGCCTGCCCAGGATATCATGTCCTCTTCTCTATTTACAGAGGATATCTATGGGGGCGGAGAGATATGTCGCTTTAATTTGAAAAATATTACTTCAAATCAAGTGCCTTCTTCCTTTTTGTATTTTTAATTTTGTTTTAATTTCATTTTATTCAATTTTTTTTATGTTTTTACTTCCAAGATGATGTCACCACGTATTAATATTTTTAAATTTACATACCTACATGTGATTGCACGGGTTAGGTCACGAGAATGAATGCGAGATAAAGTTCTTTGACGTGAATTGTAATGCTGAGATAAAAAATTGGGTCCCTTGATTTTCAATGATCCCATGAGCGACTAATCAAAACTTCAATACTGTAAACAACATCCAAGGATCCACTCATGTAAATCCTTGTTGGAGTTTGCATCGTAGAATTTTCACTTAAGACGTGACTTACGACAAGCCAAAAGAGCCGAATCAAGGACTTCCGAGGCCTCATCAAGAAATTCTAAATAGTAAAATTTACACTTTTAAATGGCTTTTAAAGGCCGCCGCGATTTTTTTTAAAATTTTCAAACAGACATATTTGAAGAATGAAAGGAAAGACTGAAGCCATTGCGCACATTCGACAGGAGAAAAAAATTCAAGGTTTGTTGGGGAAATCTGTCTCCTCTCAATTTTACAATATTATTGTGTGTAATTTACTGATTTTTTTTTTTAAAAAAAAAACTGTCACCCTGCCTGTATTCTCAGACGAACAATGTATTCTTTCCGGATAATTGTGTGGCACAGAATTGAAATCATATCCGTATAAAAAATATGAATACAAAGAGGAACTTTATGTCTCATTCCGCGAGCTATATGCGGCCTTATTATCTGCTCCCATGTCTTTTTCTCCGGGAGGAAAAAGCTGGTCTTGAATTCTCGAGCTCTCGACGGTCGACTCACATCATTAGTGGATAATAACTTACATTGCTGGTATTACCTACTCATGTCGAAGACACAATTGCCGTGAACTTGGCGACTATCAAGAGCATTGATAACCCGTTGCCGTGTATCAAGAAAATAAAATGAATTCCACGTTTCGAGTTTGATAATTATCATAGTGTCTAGAATTCTTCATTTTTTTTCATTTCCTGATCTTTCTCTTATATCTTCCCTGATTTTCACAGAAAAATTCTTCGATAAAAAACTAGAAAGCCCTTCTCACTTTCCTCTACGTTCTCTACAAAAAAATACCGTATTTTTTCCGAATCTTTCAAACCGAGTCAACAAAAATGACAAGATAAACGTCATTAATATAAACCTCGAAGGATTCAGACTTTCAGCGATTCTACCTTTTTCTATTTCACTGGAGAGGTTGCCAGATTGTGGGATAAATGTGAATATTTTACATGGATTTGAATTGGGAAAAGTGCTAAAAAAGCAACTTATCTGGCAACAATAGAGTCCGGGAGGGACGAGAGGCTGCCATCCTGGGAAAACCCATGATTTTGCCGAAAATGTCATTAAAACAATTCATTCCGTTTGAAGCATCAATTATATACTAGGGGAAAGCTATTTTAAAATAATAATTGTAAATGGACAAAGATGCTACAGAAAAGGAAAAAGGAAATGAAATGAGGATATGATTATTAATATGCAATCGGAGAGAATATGACAAAAACATCAGAGAAATTTATATGCGCTGAAAATATAAAGAAAAAAAACACGAGTGGGTTCATTGCGATTCGGAACTCGAACTATACTATCGTTGAGCAGTTTTTAGACCCCTACGCCACCAATAATCTTCTTAAGAGGTAAAGATGAACTTTTGCTATTTCAGCGAGTCAAATCGCGGAAGGAGATCCATGGATTGTCTTTTTCCGCCATCCGATGGGATGACGTCCCAGTCAAATGCGTTTTTGAAGAAATGATCGATCCCCATCATAGCTTCATCTCCACACATCACATGTCACTTCATCTCATGTGCAAATGATGACACGCTCCGGCAACAAGGTTCTATGACGAAATCATTTTTACCTCTAGAGTCTCCAAAATGTATACATCTTAGTGATCAAACGTCCAATCACTGAGAAAAATGGCTCGCGGAGCGAGCCGAATGTCACTCGCGTAGCGAGTGATCGGGGATCCGAGGGGGCGCAGCCCCTTGGCTGGCCGTGACGGACGCGCGAAGCGCGTCCAGAACGGCTAGTAAACACCTAAGAACCATATATTTTTTGTACATATACGTATACGGTTTTTAGGCATTTAATGTGATTTTATGTTGTAGAGAATTATTTAATCTCAGAGCGGAGAAAGAAGAGACTCCTGGTTTGGACTAAAACTAAAGATGGAATCGTGTTTTGATGGTTAGATCCTTTGCAGATCATGCGGAAGTGAGCTGTCGATGATGAAAATATTCGAGGACATTTTAGACTTTCGTGGCAAAAATAGATCGTCGGCAATTCTTAAAAAATATTTTCGACAATTTTCAAAAAATTGTTGAAAACTGTCAGATTTATCATAATAGCAGACTTGCAATATTTTTTAATAAACTTTAAAATCAACTTGGACGGGTTTCCGGTTTTATTCGAAGAGCTCCAGGTAGACAAGCTTTTTCTTATTCGGAAATTGTCGGTGATTTCTCGTAAAAATTATTATTTACACGAACAATTTTTAACGCAAATTTCTTGAAATTGAAAAATGCAATATTTTGGCTGGAAGAAAGTTTCAAGGTTACGCAACGTTATTCCCTCACTATTAGCTGGCTTTTCGGAAATTGGATAAGTTCCCTGGGTTTTTAATGTCTCGTTTGGCATGATATCTCGTGAAAATTCTATCCACCAAACAAATTCGGCGCGAAGTTTTTTTTATAAATTAAGAAACGCAATGTTTTTGCTGGAAAAGAGTCAAAGTTTCTCAGCGAAATTCCCCGACTTTTCAAGGACTCGAATATCCTGGGCTCGATTCAGATCCGCGATACATCAAGCAAAACAGATGAAAAACAGAAACCGGCAACTGCTTTTATTGTGACTGGTGGAGCACTGGGAACTTGGACGTTACAGCTACGAATGCCCATTATCTGTTAAGCCCTAGAAGACGGACATTCCCATGGACCTGAGGGCTCATCAGAAGACCGACTTGTGCTTTTTCAACACCTACCGGTTCAGTTGTGGGAAAAACTCGATTACGACACGGCACTTAGATTACGCGGGAGAGGGGCCCGTCCCATTCTTAAAAGGTGGGGGACGAGGGGGGGATGAGATGGGATTGAATGTTTACAGCGCGCGGGCACGAAGCGTGCGTGTTTACGCGCCAATGGATCAACAATTATTCCACATCGCGCGCGCGCCAATGACATCAGATCGTAATAGAATCGACGACGCGACAACGACGACGCACCGTGGATCGACTAAATAGGAGAGGTCGGAGAAAATTTGAAAACTTTAAACGCTTATAACTCCGTTTATACAAAACTTTGAGGTTCTACAGTTGCTTTCATTGGTTTCCTCATAGAATTTTTGTTCCAGAAGCACCCCTTAAAATTTAAATTGTGACGAAATAAACAAGAAAAATTGGAATTTGAGTCAAAATTTCACGTGCGACCTCTCTGATTGACTCGACCAACTGTGCGGCGTGGCGGCTCGATTATAATGTGCTCAATAACTGCGGGCATTTGCGTTTATGGCTCCGTTTCCGAGAGAACCCTATTGATTTCGCGCCAAAAATAAAGCCATCAAACTGCTTTGACTTTTTATTAATTTCATTATTTTTAGCACTCGGAGACGGATTAATTGTACGTGTTCATGCAGGAAGGAGTCATTTTGTGCAAATAAATTAATTCAAAAGAAACTGTGCGGCAGGCAAATCCTATGAACATAGTTCTTTTTAATTTCATTCATTTTCGCCGTGACGGTATCAAGTTCACAATTTAAAAAACGTAGTTTAAAATATGGACTATTTTAAAAATATTAGGTATTATCTACATTATTCAGGACACATAATTGTCAACTTGACGTTTTTATTGTCACGAAAATAAAAAAAAAAGCTCTCAACTGGATGTATTTACGTTAAAAGGAACTAAATCGCGCGCCAAGCCTTTGCACATGCTTCATTTTAGCATAAATTCGTCGACTTTTCTATTATAGCATTACGTCTAACTCAACATCAAGCCTCTGGAAAGAGTTTCCCGCCAAAAGCTTTAACTCGATTTCCGATCGAACTATCGGGAAATAGCTCTGTACTATCCGTGGACTTAAGTCCATCTTTCCGTAGTTGGTCACATGTCAACGAAATCCGCCGCAACAGGTCCTAAAAGCAATGCTTTCACTTGCCAACAGATCACAATACACTGGCAAAAGTTTGGGCCCATTCATCCGACTGAGATTCTAGGATTAGAAATTTAGAAATATGGAGCTGGAGAAGTGGTACAAAGTATCGAAAGAGGAGGAGTTCAAGAAGAATCCTCAACTGGATCAAAATGACATCGACACGATAAGAGAATGGATGGCAAAACAACAGTACTTCCCTGAAATCCCAGGTTAGTCTTCGGCTTTTTTGTTTCATGAAAAATTCTTATCGCGGATTTTCGAATAAAATTGGACATATTGAAACAAAATCGAGGGGTTTGGAGGACAAGGCGCGTAAGTGCAATTTTTGCTACTTCGTGGAATGAGCGTTTGAAGTTTTGAAATTACATGGATCTTCATGGCAGAAAAAAAGTTCAAACTGACTTCTTAATGCTTAAAAATAGGAATTTTTCACTGAATATGCATTAAGACTAGTTTTACTTGAAATTATCAATATCTTAATTTTTTTTCGAAAACTGCACTTATGCGGTTATTGTCCTCCAAGCCCCTCAATCAACCTAACTCCACCAATCGTTGCCTAATTTATCATTATGTTTCATTTCTTTACCATAAAACTGAGCAACATTCTGACTTGAATTTTTGTGAGGGTATTTTGATAATCTGAGAAAAATTCAGAGACATTTTCAAGGCGTTACTTGTGCGTTACTTATATCTCTGCTGACAAATGAAGTATGAGAGGAAGTTAGGCGACGTAAAATGCACCTACGCTGATTCAGGTTAGGTCAACTTGTCAGGTATCAGCAAGACACTCACTTTAGATTTTTATCAAAATTCGGAAAAAAGACCTTAAAAGTGTAGACAATAATTTCTTGAAAACCTGTGTAACAAGGCGAGGAAAAGGCCAACTAAGAATTGAAAAAAAAAAGTTCAACGTTTTAGCGATGAGTTTACAATTGAAACTTGAGAAACATGCTTTTATGCGATATATCATCTCTAATAAAGATATTGGATTTAAATGTAAAAGGGGGGTTTTGTCAGTGTAAACTATGTGCGTAGTATTTTGGATTGGTTGCCAATTTAGGTTGCGAGGTGCAATGCTCTCGCACACGATGGCAAGAGGCAATAATACGCAATCCAATGACTGATTTCTTTTTAATTTCAATTTAGATCACCAAATCATTTTGTTCTTGCGAGCAAACCACTTCAGCGTTGAAAGGACGAAGGAAAATATTGAAAATTATTTCACGATGAGGACTATTTACACCAACTTTTTCAGCGAACGCATATATTCCAGTGAAGCAATGAAGACTGCGAGGGAAGTGATGTGAGTAAGCCAGTACCTATCTTCAAGAATAATTTTACTGACACTGTAGTAAATTGACTTATCGTTGGTTTTTGGTTGAAATGTCTCATGAGAGTCTTGAAATAGTTATTTCATGAAATCATTTTTACTCTTATTAAAAAAAAAAAAAAAAAAAAAAAAAAAAAAAAAAAACAACAACTGATATTTGCATATCGCGGATCGGAGATTGTTCCGCGAAGACTGTACCGTCAATATCAGCGTTGAGCAAAATTCTGTACATCGAATTAACTTCGCTATTCGTTTTACAAACTTTCTTTAACTCCTCCAAAATATTCGACTAACTCGATCAATTTTTCATTTTTCCGACATCCTGCAGACGACGGAGAATTTTCTCCCGGACAGAATCTTGTTCCTATCGTTGTGTTCAATTGTTTGTTTCCCTCTTTCCTTGAACTTTACAGAACTCACGGGGTTTCCCTCACATACTTGAAATACTTTGAGAGTCTATGTATCAGAAATTTTCTCCACTCGTGCATGACTTGAAGCAATTAGCTTAGCCGAATATTCTTCTTTCAATGATGGGAGGGAGGGAGGGGTCTGAAGTCAAAAATTTCCCGTTGGAAATGGAATTTTGGGGTTGAAAATTCTTAGGAATTGCACTGCATTCCTCATAAATTTTTCCTGTGTGGGATAAAAAAACGTGGTTTTGGCAATATGAAAAACATTCAGCTAGCCAAAAATTTGAAGTTTCACCCATTATTACTGTGAAAAGTCTAAGTTTCTAGTGTTTCTTCCCCCTTCCCACCCCGAAAACACTGTTCTTTCGCTAAAAATCCTGCTGACGATAAGAACTGGGCCGGGCTCAAAGAGATCCAAATAGGACATATAAATATGCTGCATGACGGTGCTCGGTAATATGATAAACAAAGTGTCAAAAAATTTAGAACTGGTCGAACTAGTTTGTCAAACTGGCTCGGTGGGTGGAAAACACCGCCAACTCGCCGTAGCGGTGAACACTAACAATAAGTCAAATTCATCACTTGCGAGATAAAAACGCAAAGATTCGGTAACATCCTTGTTTACTCTTGCCTCAACGTACATAGTACAATGACTCTATTGACAACTGATATCTGAGCAAATCGCAAACTCCGTGAGCATTGTATGTGTGTAAGTCCCGCGTCATTTTCTGCGACTCTCCTTCCGGCCATCTGAAGAGCCTTCAAACCGCCGTGTATGCAATTTCAACGTTAAAGGAGGGGGATGTGTCGCCTGTTATGCCCCTTCCTTGAACGATTTAGACTTGAAAACGAGGATGAACCCTGAGAGCAAGTGTCTTAAAATGCGACGTAGTAAATTTCCTCTCGTATGCAAGTTTTTCAAGAAAAACAGGTCGTTATTAATTGTTGATAAATAAAATTTCGGGAGATTTTGAAACGCTGTAATTGAGTTGGACTTAGAGCTTCTCAGAATTCAGCGATCGATATGGAACTTTCATTTAAGAGTATTTTGTCAAATCTTTAGGATTCAAGTAGGTACTTTCACTTACAAAATATTGTAGAGGAAAAAATTATAATATTTTCAAATTTCTAAAGCGAAGCGTCAGGGTTGCCATAGAATTTGGAAAATAAAATTCCCTGACATTTCCCTAAATTTCCTGACATGTTTTGGTGAAATTCCCTGACAATGGAACAAATGCCAGGTTGGTAGAAAGACAGTTAGAAATAGTTTTCAAGCAAAACTCGTTGTTCGAAACGTCAAACCCACTCGGAAAAGCAAGTAAAGGTGACTGGACGATTTTCTCCTGACATTTTATCCATTTTCCCTGACTTTTGAAAATTCCCTGACATTTCCCGGTTTTCCCTGACTGTGGCAATCCTGAGCGTGTTTAAAATAATCTGCTTTCCGTTTTCCCACAGCCACACGGCCTTTTTGGAGGGAACCGACGATGATGGAAACCGAGTTTTCTGGTGCTCGCTCCGAGACCCTAACCCAGCACTCTACAACCCGGTCCACTGCTCAAGATACTTAACGATGATTTTCGACGCCGATCAACTAGAGAAGGGCTCCGTCAAAGGCTACTCAGTTGTCATGGATTCCACCGGATTTGTCTTCGGACATGGCATCAAGTGGAATTTAGGTCTTGTCAAACAGAACGTAGCTTACAATCAGGTAATAAAATTTACACAGCATGAGGACTTTCCCACCCAGTTTGGCAGTATTATAATGATGCCAAAAAATGTTGTTTTGAAAAAAAGTTGGTTTTACTTGCTGTTCAGAGCTCGAGAGTGATACATTAAAATGTAACTTCATACTCTCTTGGCAAAAAAATTAACTGAACACTTACAAATTTTTTTTTGTGGAGCACTACAGTGTGTTTTATGTCAAAAACACCGATACCGAATTTTTCACCCAACGAGATGCTCTAGAGACTCTCATCCCTAGCCTCATGAATAGTCAGAAATTGATATACTAATCACGATATTTTTAAGTATTTGATACTTTTGAAAACGCAATATTTTTAAGTACATAAAGTCTGGTTACAATCAACAAAAACAAGGAATTGTGGGGAGTTTTTTTTCTTCCATACTACAAGATTAAAACAGTAAATATTTTATCAATATTGCTGGACGAAATTTAAAGAAAAACAATCATCTTAGTGGTTTTCAGAGAAGGAACCTAGCAATTCCTCTTTATCATTGTTGTTTAGTTCAGTAATAGGTATTGTTTCTATAATGTTAGTGATGTATGCTATAATGGACTAGAAGCAACTTGATCAATGACTTTTTTAAAAATAATTGACTGCTAAAAGTCTCAAAAAGAAAGCTCCCGTGGACAGTACTTAATACATTGTCAACGGATAAAGTACATTTTTACAGTGGTTCACATGCATGAATTTTGAATTCATAGAGCACAACCAGATTTAAATCCCTTTTTCTTTATAGCAATATAATACTATGATGCAACATGTACTGATAATGTTGGAATGAAAACAAATCGATATCATTGTACAAATACTTATTTCACAGAAATGACTCCTTTTTCTTTTCTTTTTTAGGATGGGTCAAACTTACCGATTCTGCGGGTATACTTCATCAACACTAACTCGGTAGTTGAGAACTTGGTGAATATGGCCAAGAAAATTATGTCACCTGAACTTGCTAAAAAGGTGATTACAAATGCATTTAGACATGTGTATTTCAAGCTGAATAAGCTCTTAAAATTTGGATACACACGCTCATTTGGTGAAATTATTTACTAAGTTTACACTCATTTTGTCGGGCTTTACCGAATTTCACTAATTTTAACTTACTGGGGTTTATCAAGTTTAGATACTTTGACAGCCCTTGCTTCTCAAAGTTGGAAGTGTGCAGTGCGAAATAAGCCAAAATTTGCCTTTACCCAATTTTGCATTGCATTTTAGCCAAAAGAATTGTAAAATTGGGTTCTTTTAGAAAAAAATGCCATTCACTGTCTAAACCTTTATCAATGTTGTTTTTATTTCAATTTTTCTTCCAGAAATATTCGATGAAAGGCTAAAGCAGAATTTTTAATAAAATATGTTTTAGCAAAAAGATAATTTGCAAAAGAAAAAGAAAGATGAATCTTATTGAACCCACACAATTGTAAAATTTATTGTTTCCTTTTTAGGTTTATGTGATTTCAACTAAGAACTACTCCAAAATATTTGATACAATTCCTAAGAAAATCGTTCCTTCGGATTGCGGAGGAGACTGTGGAAAAACGAAAGAGGAGCTGAGCCGTAAGTATCATCATGTCATTGAATAAATTAATTGAGTTGAGATTGCTTTTTTCGTTAATGTTTGGTGTTGGTCATCACATTTACAAGCTATTGTTTTTATTTTATGATACATTTAGATGACAAAATTTCCTAAAGATGGCTGAAAAAATCAAAATAGGAAAATTCTTGTGCTAGAAAAAAAATAATATTTTACTCTGTAAAAATGAGAACCCAGCAATTGAAAGAGCTAATAAAATACTGCATGAGAATATTTCACACATCTCATTTTCAATGTTGATTAATTTTCAAACATTTTTATGAATCGATGTTGTTCATGGAATATTGCCGTTTTCAAAAGAGCTTTTGGAATTTACGCAAAGAAAAATTGCTTGATTAAGCTTGTGTGATAGTATAGATTCACAGAGGCTAAAGTTTATATTATAGATTTCAGTTTCTACATTGAAGATTAAAGGGGGAATCAGTGTCTTCCTGGGATATCATTAATAGGCATTTTTGGCAACTGATGAGCGTTTCCTCAGATTTCCATTTTAATGTTATGCACTGTGTAACTCTATTTTTTAACCTTCATGTTCTTAAATTTTCCTTTTTTTCAGAGGAAACACACAAAGTAGTAAACAAGTATGCAGACTATTTCGTAATTGAAGAGAAACTTCGTGTGAATGACCTTAAACGAGCTCAAAAGTCAAAATTTGCTAACGATGTTGAAGGAATACAGGGGTCGTTTAAGAAATTAGACTTGGATTGATTTAATTTAATGCAATACTACTGTAAATTGAGTTATGGGTTTTGTTGCTATTTTTTAGGGAATAGCAGCAAAACGAGTGACCAAGGGGTTCCTATTCTTTTTAAAATGGGAGCTGAACTTCAAGACTGCAACATTCGCTTGTAGTTTTTGCTAGACATTCAATGAAAAATTTTAGCCCTGTAAATGAATGCAACTTAAGTTATTGAGACTAATTATTTATACTTAGATACTCAAATTTTTATGCTTGATCCCTTTAAACTTTCAACCACTACCTAAGAGCAAAAAATAAGAGATGCTCAAAAGCTTTGAACGCTGGACATATGGTCCAGATCTGATACAAAGAGACTAGTACGACACTTACCAGGAGAAATGTGCCTTACTATAAATTTTAAGTGAGGGTTATACATCTTTGACAACTATTCCAATTCACCAAAAATAAAGTAGTATCTAGATATTTTCTATTTTTTCTTTCATTTTTTATGGAAATTAGGGTAAATCTTGACATGAATTTGTAAATAGGTACTTTGTTTTTTGTAATAAATTGTTTTTTCCGATAATTCTCTAGTTTTTATTAAAAAACTGTTACCGATGAATTAGACAAAAATTTCCACCTACATTAGAGGGGATGCTTTATATTGCTGTTTTTAAGTCCGGATAGTTACAATATAACACAGTCTGTTTCTTTTTATTTGCTTTAAACAAAAAATGCTGCTGTTATGCCACAAGCCTATTATACATATGCTAAATCTTTCAGATTCACTATCATGTTATGCAGCTTATAAGGCACCTCCTATAATCCTCTCATTAGCTCTTTCCCAGCAAAAAAAGTTAATTAAGGAAGGATAAGTTCTTATCGTTTCATGAAGCTTATCATTTCTAGTTGTTAAGTCGTCTTGAGATGGATCCTTCATAGATAGTTTTGGCTGAACAAACTTTACTTTGTTAACAACCCCTTTGCCTTTCCGCCTCCTCTTCTTTGGGGTCATACCAACACTATCACGGATTTTATCCATTCTGTTTGAGGTCAACTTTAAACTGAATGAGATAAATATTTAATTACCAAGTAATCCAACGCGCGATGAAAAAACGGATTACCTATACCTTGATGACCATAACGCAGCATTACAAATGTGTGTGCGACGTACGTTGAATTCCTAATGTTAGTTAATTGACCATTATGGACCTTCAGGAAGCTCACAGGATTGTTATTATGGCAACTTCATGAACGTTTGAAGAACTTGGAAGAATGAGAGTCAGTTGCACCTGTCAAAGACTTGTAATTTGGGGGATCCTTCTCAAACATCAGAAAAAATTACAAGATTTGCTTACGAAAAAAAGTTTCTAAGTCCGATCTTAACAGAGAAGTTGCCCGGAGAAAAATGTAATGAATAGCGTCATTCATCACAGGAGTATGTAATATACCATGATCTCTACTATATACGACTCATCAATTGATAATATATGACGTGATGTAAATCATTTTGTTGATCACGATATGTGAAAACATGGTGAGCACTACCATGAACTAGTGGAGTTATTTTCATCTTCTTCCTCATGGAAAGATAAGAAATCTAGAGATATTGGATGCGAAAAGGCATTTGGATTAGTGATCGGTCAAATCCTAAAATTACACAATTTTAGTCCAAGATTTACACCTTCAAACGGAATCAACCGCTATTTCAGTGAATTGGGGGAACTCAAGTACATTTAAAACTTTAAAAAGATTTTTATGACTTTGAATTAATTTGCTGAACTATCATTTTCTGGGAAAGAATAACCTATTCTACATTTATTCTTGCAAAGAAATTTGGGGATTCCAACCACTTCCGACACAAAAAACTAAGCCTTTCCCCCCGAAACAAGCAAGACAAGTCATAGAATTGGAGATTAGGGAATAAAGTAAGACCTCAAATTATCGGATCCCGATTTAACGGATGCCACGATTTAACATATGCCGCAATTTAATGGATCAATCCTCCGGTCCCTTCAGTGGGACCCTCTGACACAATTTAACAGTTTCTGTGATTTAACAGATTCCACGATTCAACGGATTCCATGATTTAACGGACTCGGCCTCCGATCCTGTGAAATCCGATAAATCGAGGTCTTACTGTACATAAAATCGATGTTGAGCACATCTGTGGAGGCCTTGAAAACGATTAAGAGCACCATTTTGAAACTTTGATCAATGGGCCTGTTGCAAACTTTTGCTAGAGCAAAAATAAGAGTTGTTTCTTGTAGATAATGCCTCAAAAATCACGATGAGCGCATCGGCAAAGTCTGAAATGCACTCATAACTTCACAATCTGCGTAAGAAATTTGCGTTTTTTTAAGCTTCCCGCTTCAAAAACGATACTACGGCACAGGTGAACATTTTGTTAGAGGAGTCGCTCCATCGTCGGCGATATTCATCATGGCTGACGCTTGCGCACAGTTCCGCGCGTAATTCGAGGAGAGTTCAAGGTCAATCAATTCGGGCGTGGAAAATATGAACGTTAACACACCGATTGTTATCTGGTCTGATCCAGTTCAGGTGTTATCTCGTCCCATCAAACGTGTTTTGGCGGATTGGCGTCGGCCATGATGATTATTGCCGACGATGGAACGACTCCTCTTACAAAATCTTCACCTGTGCCGTAGTATCGTTTTTGAAGCGGGAAGCTCAAAAAACCGCAAATTTCTTACGCAGACTGTGAAGTTATGAGTGCATTTCAGACTTTGCCGATGCGCTCATCGTGATTTTTGAGGCATTATCTATAAGAAACAACTCTTATTTTTGCTCTAGCAAAAGTTTGCAACAGGCCCATTCTCAGTTTCAGAAATGGGTTAGATTATTTGTAAGACTCCACCCAAATCCAAATTTTTATCAAGATTCGACTAAACCAGCGCCATGACTAGTTCGAGTGGATTCTGTATTTTTTTAAATTCCATAATCAAACCGCCATTCTTGGACAAGACTCATTGCCTTGATTAGAGATAAGGATCAAATATGCCCACTTACTTTGACCTTCATCACTGGAGGGCTCCATGACCTTGCTCGGCAGTTTGGACAGGACCTCAAGGGCTAGAGCAGGGCATCCAGCTTTGAAATGTGCATGCGCTGTTGTGAAGTAGAGCTGCCTCTCAAGAGGAGTTATCGAGTCTTCAAGCAATAACTGAAAAAAAAAAAAAACTGATGAGTTTCGGAGAGTGATGAGTGAGAGTGAACTGATGAGTGATGGAGTTAGTTAAATTCCAGGGGTGAAAATTTTGTGAAGGAGACTTATCGACAGATATGCTGGCTACCAAAGTGAAAGTGCTGCAATACTCATCTAAATTTATCAATCTTCTTTTTAATGCACTGTCCTTCAACAGGAAAATCAGTGGGTATTTACGTAATCCTCCTTTAAATGGCTGGCTCCGGCTTTAATTTCTTCAAAAGCCAATAGCATTGGATGATAGGANAGGGGGGGGGGGGGGAGATTATCAATTATAGATGATAGAACTTCTTTCTATTGTACCTTAATGTGGAAAACATGGGTAAAGAATGGTGTGAACCTCACCTGTCGGTCTGCTGCTGCATTTTTGAGTTTAGTATCGTTGGAGTAACTGAAACCAGACAGAACAACTGTGTGTTTTTTATCCAAGTACTGTGAGGCCAAGTGGTGTCGAATCAGTAGCGGATGTGTTCTTAGATAAACGTAGAAATTAAATACATTTGGATTAGCTGGAAAAGATAAAAAAAATTGGTAAGTTAGGTTTCTTTGATTAATAACCAGAAACAACTAAAGTTTAGAAAAGGATCAAAGCATTTCGAACACATGAACTATAGAGTGGAATTTTATGAAAATAATTTAACCCTTAATGGTCATAATTAATTGTACCTGTCAGCCTCCAAGATTGAAATCAATCTTTTAATATTTGTCATATTACGATGCAAGATGAAATGCTGCCAGTTTAAGGAGTTTCAGAAAAAGTGTCTTCTCCTGTTGCCCAACAAAATTACTATCAACCAGAACTTGATAATAATTTTATTTGGTCTCTCCTGACATTCGGACGCAGAAAGTTAAGTAGTTTAGTTCCCATTTCTTCAAACCTGCTAAGTTCCACAGAAAGCAATGCTGCTTAATACGTAGGTTATATTTCAATTTATTCAATATATATGCAATAATGCAATATGCAAATATCTTATAAGGTGCCCCCTTGTTAAATAATTTGAGAAGTTAATTATAAACACTTTTCAAACTAGACATTGTTGAGGAGGGAGACCATAAACAACTGACCAGTGAAAAGCTTTGGTTGGATACAAAAAAGCTCTATGAGTGCAAAAAAAATGTATGGATATGTATAGGTTAATGAAATACTCACCGGTCGTTTCTGGTTTGTCATCATCTGAATATTGTGGATGCATTGATCCGACATTGGTCTGAACCAAAGTGTTCAAACTGCCTGTAAAGTCTTTAAGAATCCAAAGGGCCATTGACCGTAGGAAGGGATCAGGATGTGCAACAGAGAGATTTTGACTTTCACCCTCTGCATTGCAGCCAAGAATTTCCTGGAGAAGAAATACATTTTTAGAGAACGATTCGCCAGCAAATTCATGTTCATTCTTCCTTGATATTTTAAATGCATACGATTCAAATCGGGTATTGGAACAAACTATAAAATAAAATTAAAGTACTTTCAAGATTGAGTTTCTAAGAACACTGAGCCCGCGTTAATCTTACTGGCTCATAATGATTACATAAAATAACTAAGAATGAGCTGACCAGATTAAAAAGCCATAAACGTTTTCACTCAACCCTTTTCGTACAATGAGAAATTTTTTGGAAAATACTATGGCATGTACAAAAATATTGTGCATTTAAATACATACATATTCTATAATGGGGCTAGGTATTTCGACTCCTTTCATTTTGAAAGACAGTGATTAACACTTACTTCATAGAGCAATCGCTTTAAACTAGGTGGAGTGGAATCAATTTCTCCTTCATAAAGTCTGGCTATGACCATTGCAAGTTGCAAGTCTTCTAGTTTATTGAGACAAACCTGAGGACAAAATCAAAAAAGCAAAGTTTAACTACAATCATTGTCAACTGCAACTTTCAGACAAACTTAGGAACAAAACTAAGAGGTAAACGGGAAATGAAGAGAAACAAATCTTAAGGTTCATTCAATTACATCGAATAAAAGTTATGTACATGAGTCCAAACTTAAAAAACAAATTGGTACATATGAATAACAAAATAACTGTCATGTTGCTGGACACGGAAGGACAACATTAAATCAGCGAATATTTTTTGTTCAACATCAGGCTAATAGGTTAGAATTTTTGTAAGTAGCACATTAATCAAAATAGAATTACCTCAATTGCATCACGTAAGGCACCAGCAAGTAAGAAAAATGCAGCAGCATGCTCAAAGCGTTGTTTCCCCAAAAGAGCAAAGGCATTTTTAAGAGCAGCTTTACGCCATCGATCCTCTGCAAAATTATTGGAGAAAAATGAGGTCATACGTTCGTCTCTTTGAGAACGGAAAAGACCCCACACGATCGACTTTTTCTTCATGGCAATATAAAACAGTGCTGCATCTAGGGGGTCTTGGTTCTGTTGATAGGCTGCTTTGGCCACCTGAAAAAAATATTCAATATTATTTTTTGCCTAAAATTCTTTCACTTCAACCTCAAATATATAGGCAGATATTTAGTAGATAGAACTAGAAAAATACACACCTTTATTGTTGCATTAAAAATCTTTGTTCACATTTTAGTTTTTCAAGAGAATACCACTTTGCGTTTTTTCACAATAGTTTAAGTAAGGATTGAGCTACGGTGCATACTCTTTCAAGAAAAGTAGAATATGACAGAAATTTCTCTCATATGAGCCAAATCTGTGGATTTCTTGAGAATCATATCAAACTAATTTACTTAAAACCAACAGATACCTTTTCAATGCAGGTTTTGAGACAGGTATGATTTCTGAGCCACCAGCCGACGCCTAGCTCTTTGAGGACGGACCATTTAGGTGACCCTTTGGCGTAGGATGGGATTAAGGACAGAAGTTCATCCTCACTTTCCGAATGGAATGCCCAGACAAGGTTGTTCGATGCAATTCCTTGCCGTTGGAATTGGGCTCGTTGAGCGATTGGCAAACAGCGCAGAAGATAGTTGTAATGCTTCATCGCCAAGAGGAAACGAAGACCGCAATCATCAAGAGAATCTGGAAGAGGAAAAAATAAAATGCATCTGTTGTAATATTCGGAGTTAGTTTTTACAGAAATAAAAGGATCAAACCCTCTAAGTTAAAGACTCAGACCAAATGAAGAGATCAGAGCCAAAGAGGCTTAATTCCATTGTAACTATGAGAAGTTTTCCTTGGAAGTTTATTTATTTACTCAATAACGTTTGTAAGGACTCTTTTAAAATTTTCTGAAAAATCCAATGTAACATGCGCACAAATTGATGAAAAGAAAGATAACGTATCAGCAAGACTTCACAACATTAATATGCAATTAAGCCTCCTTCATTCTAGACCATTCAACATGAGTGACACTAGGGATAAAGTATATCCCGATGTTAACTCTGCTTCGGTGATTTCAATCCCCCCCCCCCCCATTATATTAATTAGATTTTTGCAATTGATCAAAAATCTCTTCGTTAGAAATGACCGTGCTCAAGATGATGTTGAAAGTGGAGCTTTAAGAATAGATACAGATGTAAAGAAAAAGCTTACACAATTCAATATGCATTGATCTCTCTTTTTCCTCAAGTATCTAAAGAGCCAATCAAGATTATTCAAACAGATCCGCACTGTAGATATAAATGGCTAGGGTGACATCACTGGGGGCATCACCATTGGTAAATGTGGCAATGAACATGCTGAATTTTTATGGAAGATGAGATTTTTTCTCATCATACGTATGTTTAGTACTTTCGGATAACAAATAGGAAAAACTTACCGGAGGAAGTATCACCATCCGGCACCCCTGTCAAATTCTCTTTGGCAATGGCACTTCTAGCAGCATCAATTGCAAACCTTTCGGCAAAGTCAATATTACAGGTAGACACCGTGTCAGCCAACGCCAATAAGTGCATTTGGTCTAGACTTGAGAGGCCAGGCAAGTGGGTGTGCGTGAGTAACCGAGAGAGCAGACGACCCTGCCGAGGACCAAAGTGTGAGAGACCTTGTTTATCACTGGTCGACTGTCGTCTATCGCGATTGCACACTGCAGCATCTGGCTCATCTTCTTCCAGCATTTCATCCAAAGAGAGGTCATGTTGTGCGATGTTTCCATCAAATAGTTTATTGTAATCCTGGCAAAAGACAACGAGAAAATTGACTTCCTTGTATTTACTAGGATTTGATAGAATACAATAACACAGTTAGGATATAAACCTTCTCAGTTAAATTTTAGGAATTAAGAGAAAATCAGTGCACGAGGTTCTGGTTGGGCAAGGGTTGCAATGATGAAAAAAATTGTTACAACGACGTTATGAAATCTTCACATGCATTTACAAACCTAGTTCAAAAGACATAAAAGATATTGACTGGAAACTGTTAAATCAAGACAAAACAATTTAAAAAAAAAAAATAGGGAAATGAGAGCTTACTTGAGTATCTTCGTTAGTTTTCTTAACTGAGGATTCTTTGTCAGCAGCCAGCAATGTCCAAAGGGGTAGTGGTGGGATTGATGTTATCTCTGCATAATCTAGGGTCAACTCCTCAGGAATGGCTGTTGTAGAGCCGCGCTGCTCTAATGGACTTGTTGCTCCAGCATAACTGACCGATAATGTTCGAGATCGAGACCAGCCACGCTGGCGCATGAGATTCTCCTCGTCAGAGAAAGAACACACAACAGCACCTTGACGCACACTGCACGTGTTTGATATACACCTGAAAAAATAAGGGAGCATGATTAAGCTACAGAAGTTCATAAAGATAACAGCTGAAAATTAGATGGCAGATTTAGAAAGCTGACAAGAGGAAATTTTCTCCAAAACAAACACAAAAAAAGCCTTGAAGTGTAAGATTCTGTAAATATTCTGTTTTTCTGCTTGAAGTTTTATAATTCAACCATTGGAGAGAAGCTGAATTTTAAGAAGACATGGTTGATTACCTGACTAGGTGAGCTAGAATAGCCTTGACCCATCTGATTTTTCCGGAGTTCAATAATTCCATAAGCTGTTTCGGGTGGTACTGCGGTAGAACTGGACAAGCGATGCGACTTGCTTCAAATAAGCCATAGTCTGGCATGTATGAATCCATGCTTGTTTGAGGGTCATTTGGACCAGAGCCTGCAAGCCAAAAATAAGAATTGATTGTTAAATAAAAAATCATGCTGGCAAATTGTAAATTTTAAGTGTAACAAAAAGTACATGCCCTCCAAATAAAAATAAAATTAAATGAACTAAAACAAGGGGAAAGCTCCAAAACGTTTGCATTAGAGAAACACTCAGCTGTTTTCTACGTAGGCACGTTTTTAAGTTCCCCGGAGAAGATGAGCAACGTTGAGTGAAAGAACTTGCCTCACCAAAATTTCAACTATCAAACTGAGAAAAGTATACCACCGTTAAAAAAATAAATTATAGAAAAACGATTATTGTCCTCCCTTCTTTGATATCAGAAGCATTAAATTAAGAAATAACAGATAAATCTATTCTAAATGAATCACTAAATACAAAAAGGGCACATGTCCAGAAAACCCAATTGACTGACGCTCCGCTTCGCTCTGCGCCAGTTTTTATAAATATAACGACTTTCCAAAAAATATCTACCACGAAATAAACAGTTTTCTGTGTCTCTTGAACAATTTGGTTTTCTGGACATGTGCCCTTTTTGTATTTAGTGATTCAAATATGAGAGGCTCCTATCTGCTATCTCTTTGTTGAGTTGGTGCGCCATTTGAACGCAATGCCACTGGTACACTAGAATTCTAGAAGCAGGTAAAAATCAAAAAGTGCTTCTTATCGACTGGGCGCTGAAAAGAGGAGAAAAAATTATGCTCTGAAAATCCTAGAAAATATCAGGGTTGATTACATTTGGTAAATAGAATATAAAAAATAGGCGTAGAACATGAGCAAGAAAGTTTTAATAATTCGGCCGTTCAAAAATTACTATTCCACTCATTACAATACTTCAGTAAAGAAATAGCATTCAATTCACATAAAATTAGAGAGAGAAAGGGAATACTGACCACCAGATACAAATGAGCGTTTCTTCTTGCTTTCGACAGCAAGCATGGTGAGATTGATAGAACTGACTCGAGACAGATGAGGCATAGAACTGACATTTGCAAGTCTTCTTTGTGACGTTTCCTATGAGAAAAAAAAAAATCATAAGTTGGTTTCAGAACTACCATGAATTTATTATACCTTCATATTCATACTTCAGAAATCTCTGCCGTTCTATTTAATTGCACAATCCGTAGGGCAATTTCAAGTAAAAATTATAAATAAGCCCATCAATGCAGTGAGAGGGCGTGACAGATTTTTGACTTAACGTGACATGACACTATCCTTTGATTTCTTCTGTTCTGAATTAGAGTATCTTTATAAATATCACTACCATGATTTGACGTCATTCCAATTTAAAATTCACAGTCATTAGGCAAAAGCTAAAGATAATGTACTTTATAAGATTTTGAAACAGAAAAATTAAAAATAGTTTTTGAAGTTGGTTTTAAACAATAATACTGAAATTAAAGAGTTGAGGGAGCTATTCACAAGAGCCCATAAAACGAGCAAGAGTTGGTTTCTTGTTCCTGTTTTTCTAGAAAAAGGACACAGCAATGGTTTCACATTCGCTGTTAATTCAAGTACTGGCCTCTCAGAGACAGAAGCACATTCGAATTATTAAAAGTCCTTTTCAATGAAATCTCCTTACTCTTGCTTACTCCCCACAATGTTGATGGCATGAATGTAAAAATCATTCACCTGCGCCAGACTCCGCAAATCTTCATCTCGCAGGTTGCGAGTGTCCTGGAGTTCATCTGACTCTTGATGGGCCAGCCGTCCTAGACCAGGCTTGATACCAATGGGTTTCCACTGGGAATAAACATGCATCTCATTGTCCATTCCAACGACAAGGATTCCATCCCGCACCCAGGAGATTTGCATTGGCAGCGGTGGAAGACCGTCTGCTGTGCGAAGGCTGATAGCTCGCAACTTCATCCAGCGAATTTCATCCACAAAGTTAGGTGCTGCCAACGAAGACGCCTTTCGTAGGATTGGTCTATTGGTTGATTGAGATTCCTTCATGGCTTTCATGTTGGCTTGAGCCAAGTCGCTCGAAACCGGTGTGAACAGCATAATCTGAAAGATATGATTTAGTTTGTCAGTGACACTGACTTAGAAATGGACCTCATGAGGTGATCATGTGATATAAGACACTATAGTCTGGGCAATTGGATTAGATCGAGTAGAAATTGGGGAAAATTCATTTTCGGGCGAATTGAGCATTGGAACATCGGATCCCCTGGAGGAGCCGCTGGGTCCGCGCTGAGCTCACCTAGATATTGTTCCCATTGTGTCCACACTGAGCCTTTACAGTCATAAAACAGTCAAAAAAGTAAATCTTACATAGGAAAAATCAACCAAAGTCACACTCAGCACCCCAAAAGTCTAAAATACACTCCTCAACTCACCATTTGTGAGGTTGGTATGATGTATTTTCAAAATTTCCCATCTGCACACACTTTTTCTCAGTGATTAGTGACCAGATTTTCTTTGAGAGGGGTTTAAAATAACATAACCTAAATAGACGACAAATCTTACACAGGGTGTCTAGCAATTTTTTTTTTCATTCTCCCTGACTTTCAAGGTTTTCCCCGACCTATTGAATTTTCTTTCTCCCTGACTTTCGATGACCTTTTATCAAGATTTGCTCTCAGTCTGTACGATGTTTTCCACCCTTCAAAGTGATGGATTACAATTCAATAATAAAAACCTTTCTGCGGTCTTTGGATGTCAATGGAGACTCTCGTAAAAGAGATTCTTTTCTTTCTTCCACTTTTACATCATAATTTGTACTTAGTAGTAATGCTTTGGAAGATCTTTGCTTGTTACTTCAAAAAACCTTACAGAAATTTACAACTTCGAGAATTAAATAAATAGAGGAAGAAATAAGACACTTCCAGAGGTGTCGCGGACGCTAAAGGAGGCGTCGCGGACGCAACAAAGCGATAGAGAGAGGGAGTACCACTAGTCAGCACCATTGAATAAAGAGACTGTGTTACGTAGTCTCTTCATTCCATATCAGGACTAATGGTTCAAATGGCACCTCAGACCAGGAGAGAGCGCTGCACGGCTAAATGTCGAATCACCGTAAAGTTATGCAATAAAATCGCGATCTTCGACGGGAATTCTCTTCCCTCCCGGTTTTGCGTTTTTCTTCCCTGACATTCCGTGACTTCTCCCTGACCAATTTCATCTCCCTGACTTTCCCAGTTTTCCCGGTCGCTAGATACCCTGTACAGGTTTTTGCATCTCTTCTTAGCAACAAACCTACGCACTTTTGCTGTATAGTATAATAGAGTATATGAGAATTTTGTTACACTTCTTTGACTTGACTGTTAGCTTTTATTTCCATTAGTACAAGGAAAATAAGTTATCATGCAAAAAATTGTTAAATGAATGGTACCTTGCTTCCGACTCCAACAGTCAGTATGTGTGACCCATCTTCTTTCGAGACCCAATCCAGTTGAACCAAGTGTTTCTGCGTCAATGGGCATGTGTTTCCATGATCGATAATGGACTTACGCAATGACTGTAATGTTGAAAAACTTGGGACAGCTAGCAATCCAGCACCTGTTTTGACCAAATTGTTGTCACCTAGGTAATCACCATTACGTGTATGTGTCCTCGAGTCTAATTCCTCTGAAGAAATGGCCTTGATGAATGATGACTGGAGTTTCTGTTTTTTACTAAGGAACGTTGAATCATACAGATATGAAAGGTCTAGACTTGGGTCAACTTGCATGCGTGGGAGGTGGATGTTCTTCAAATGGATTGTGTCTTCAAGTACCCATTCAGAGCCTGCAAAAGTATGACATTGTGTGAGCGAACAGTCATGCATTGCGCTGCGCTTGCAGCTCCGGTCGGAGATGGGTGCAGTATTGAATGCAATTTCAAGTCGATTCATCAAACTGGTAGCTTAGAGCAAAAAAGTTGTAATCAATATTTCTAGAAAAATCGAATATACAAGGTAAAATTAGATGGCCACACTTGGTGCCAAGAGCAAAAATATTCCCAAAATGGCCCATTACATTGGAAGATATCGACGGTGTAAGTCGGCAATCACATAACTCGGTTTGCGACATCGCAGACTTCCTGTCATACTTTATTTTTTGAACGGAAAACTACTCAACGGCAATTCATTAAAACTGCCGTGAATTTTCTCCTCTGTGCGAAGAAAATTCTGTAAAAACTTCAAGGAATGCTGTCAATGTGTTCTCCTTTAAAAAAATAACATAGAGGCGGAGATTTTCAGACACCGCAAACGAGATATGTGATTGCCGACTTACACCGTCGATATGGTGTTGCTGAGCAACTAGCTCAAAGCAGAAAAGAATAGTTACAACTTGTCTCCACTAAGCTGCTGAGATCATAATTACAATTTAAACTTTATTGTAGGGTAGATTTCCTTTACTAATATCACTGTTAATTTGCTAAAGGAAGCCCATCACTGCAGGATCATGCTAGGTGAATCAGTTAATATAATAACTTGTTGCATCCAAGGAATTGAGGAAAGAGTTCTTTGCAAGGAAACACTTCTTCAAAAAAAAAAAAACTTTGATCACCTGTGAAAAAAAGTATGCAAAAATTCAAAAAAAGGATGTATTCTTCTAGAAAAATGTTGCATTTTGAGATCATTCCATGCAGAAACCAAACATGTCCAAAATTTGTTTTGCTTATAAATTCGATGCAAACTAAGTAAGATTGTCAAAACTGAGCATGAGTCATTCCACACACTTACACAAACTATGTAATGGCCTTGCCAACAATCCTCTGAAACTTTTCTATAGAATAACTCTTTGCCCTCTCTTGTAAAATTTGACTTTATATACAAGTTAAGTTTTGACATCGACTGATTCAGTATGAACGTTCTACGTACCTCCTGTGCTTTCACACTCATAAATGGCAACGCATAGGTTGACATAGCGAGAATCGGGATCCCGCTTTGACGGTCTGGTAAAGGACTTGCCATATTTGTAGGCAACAGATATTCTACCAGAGTACGCTGCGCTAATGTTCAGTGGCTGGCCAGAAATCTCAATTGTTGACTGACGGTCTTTGCTCAACATCTCCCATTCCGCCCATTCATACTTGTAGGATTTGGAATTTTTGTCATCATCTTCTTTAGTTACATTGCACTTCCAAAACCTACAGCAAAAAATATGACGTAGTTAATACAATAATTAAGAAATGCAACAGGATCGAGTCCAAAATCCTAAGAAGGAAGATTTGTGAAGGGTTGTGGTTTGATAGGGAACAGTGGTGGTCAGGAGTTGTAAAACGCCACAAATTGCAGTAAGAGCAACAAACATATGGATTACATCTTGCAATAAGGAACCACTATTTCTGGCCCATTTTAGAAACAACATACATGCAATTGGTTTTCCTATGCAGATATGTGCTTTTATGAAAGAACCAGAGATAGTGGTTTGTTACTGCAAAATGCAATCCATAAAATAATAAGCCATAAAATAATCCACGAATTAATTTGACCTGGTTCTCTAGACTTGAAGAGAGTTTAAGCAAAGATTTTCTTGGAAGGGCATAGTTCATTGTTGGAGGAAAATATCCAGGGACTGATGACAGTATATGGCATATCTGTCAGAAATGTAAAAAACTTCTGTAACATACACACCCAAATAAGTGAACAAGACAGCCAGGATCCATTTTCTCACTTCCATCACCAATGATTAAAAATGCACAAATAAATGAGAATTTTATAGATGATTAAACTCTCTTAGTGAACATGATTTTTTAAGTTCTGAACTCCAGAATTTCCAGTAACTGATAAAATTCTTAGTTCTTTTCTGCTAACGAGTTAGCGCTAAGAATTTTCCAATCTCATCCTTGCCATTGTTGAATTTCTCTTTATCTTCTCCAAGACCTTCTTCATTGGCCACATGGAGGTGCAACATGGGGCCATTCTTCTCTTTAATTGCTTGACACTTGCCAGTTGCCATAAGGAGCCAGATATATGTTACGGTCAATGTTAGGGAATGGGGAAGTGTATGTCATTGGCCGGCCAATGACGTCCAATGGCCAGCGATTTTAGGAAATGTTTTCTTAACAATAAAACAGTCACATATTGACCGGCCGCTGATGTCATTGGCCGGCCAATGTACTGTTTGGCCGAGGGGTGACGGCCAATGTTGGATCTGTTATCATTTATCAATTGAATGCGAGAGAGTTGAGTGACCAAGCGGCAACCGCGTCACCGAGGTGTGCACCAACAAATAAGGTAAATTAAAACTCAACGTTGCTTCTTGAGATATTTATTACAGATGTGGGATAAAAAAAAAAAACAAAACAAAACAAAAACAAAAACGAATAAAAAATGCTCCAATTTTTAAAGTAGAAAGAAATGTAAAATAAATAAAAAAAAACCCTTCTAAAGAATAAATCAAACAGCTGTAGTAATTACACATTCACTCATTTGTTTCCTCTCATGTAGTATGTTTCCAGTTTAACGGTGTTTTACTATGTGAAGAAACAATGGTTGTCAGTCATTGGCCACTGTCATCATCGGCCGGCCATTGTTCACCTTGCGGTGAAAATGTTAACGGTGACCGGGCTTTTTGGCCGATGACATGATTGGTCGGCCAATCATGTCATTGGCCCTCGCTTTCGGCCGACGCTATCATTGGCCGGTCAGTGACAGCATCGGCCAGCCCCCGCAACATATATATTTAAAAGCTATAATTCTCATTGAATCCTTATAAAATCAAAATCTTATGCAATATGCCAACATAACCTTAATGCCTCCCAGGGACACATTGAACTCTAAAAATTTCTTCTGCATACAAGTTCCTTAGATCCAAAATATTTAGTTTACACATCCTGAAAAACGCATGAGTTTTCTTGACTCTCAACCACCTTTCTTGAAGGCCTAGCTGGCCATAAGACACAGGGATGTAAGTTTACCTGATAGTGCTGTCAGAGCAAGCAGTGACTATAATGTATGGGGCAAAACATGCGGGATAGATAGATGCGGAGGATAAATGGCCCCCAGCTGGGGCTGCATGAATAACATCTACGCCATCAGGAAGAGGAAGTTCTTGAGTGCAGACCTGGAGAAGAAAACATGGCACAATGTATTAATAAGCAATTACAAAATGTTGACCTATTTATGCTTAAAAAAACTACAGTGACCACCACACTATCTGAACTCTAGATTATCTCAACTAATTATTGGTCTGCAGTCTTTCGACAAGTTACCGCGAATACTCTTCTTTATTTTTCTTCTCTACCGTTTTCCTATACATATGAACATACCTCTTTTTCCCTGCCTCTGACTTTTTCCCTTGCACAGATCATAAGTTCAGGAAAGTTTTGAAATAATTTACATTAACTTCTCATCCAATTTATGAAGTTCGACGAACTTTAGGCAACCTCCAGATTATTCAAACCACCAGACTGTCACATTATTTCAGGTAATCTAGAGTTTACTGTAAGTGCTGATGAATAAAATCAATAGGAAGTATGAGACACGCAAATCCTAGGACATAGTTCCTTTAGTTTAATCCACTAGGACATAGTTCCGTTGAGCATAATTACGCTCATGTAATACATAAAGAGGATATTCAAAAACTGAACTAAAGCTTCATAAAATAATAAGCAAAAGACTTTGAGGTTTACCTTAGTTGTTGAGATTAGTATATGAGGAGTTTCGACATCTTCTTCAGCTCCATCTTCCATCCCGGCACCAGCAGCGATTCGGCTCTCTGTGTCGTCATCATCTTGAACAATTTGGCTATCAGGGACATACATCATACTCCCACTCAGTTCTGGAAAACAAACAAAACAAGAGATGAATTAAATGCCGTAGCAATTTTTCAATAATGTCTTTCCAGCTTTTAAGCTATTCCTGCTTTTGAACTCCTCTAAGTAAAATCAAGGTCATTCCACTATTCTGAGGTCTTCATTACAAAGAAGAATCAATCCATCAAATCTATTGACAAAACAGAGGATTTGGTACAATTTCAGGGCGAATCCAGTTCATTTGGGGATTTGAAAGGAACAGGAAATTCTTTCCGTACTCATCATTGAGTCAAAATAAATTGATTAAATAAGGTCGTACCATCATTCTGTGGCTGGGAGGCAATGATGAGTCGCCACATGTGAATGGTCGTTCCTTGAGTTGTCCGCTCAAGGAGAACCAAATAAAATGGCTCTTCGAATTCAGCGTTCTGCTGGAGGTCAACCATGGCACCCATACGAGTCTCCATGAGGCCAATGTCAGCCCCACTCATTGTAGACCGCTCACCAGTTATGAGCTGCTCTTGAAAAACATGGAGGAATTGAGTATTCTGCCAATCCTAGAAAATGATATACACAAAATTGTTACAGCTACGGATGCGTGTCATTGTTGTTTAATAAAATCTAAAACTACTCGTACCAAAGATAGTAAACAGTTTAAAATTACACTGTGCTTTTATAAATAGAATATATCACTCCGCAAAGACCAAGGGGAAAGTACAAAAGAGCAAATCAAATTAATTTAGTACAGTGAAACCTCGCTAAGTCGGTTTTCATCGGGACCGAGGAAATTTACCGAGTTAAGCGGGTTACCGACTTACGCGGACTGCCACTTTTCCTGCCGCGCTTTTTCAAATTTCGCGCCCTAAATTGGACAAACGCAAACGTGCGTGTAGAGTGACTTGTAGGAGTGTTTAGGAGAGCCATTTGATCGAAGAAAATGGTACTAAAGAGTAAAATTTCATGAGATGCACTTGAAATTGCGTGTTGTAAGTGTCAGGGCATCATGAAGTCATCGGGTTAATCGTATGTTGGGGTGCCGCGGCACCCCATTGCGTATCACCCCCCGCGCACCCCACGCGGCATGCCGCGCGGTGATGCGCCGCGGCCACCCGCTATGGCGGGTCGTTGAACTGAAAATGCAACGTATCAATACTCGCTAAAATCTCCGAAAAACTCTGCGGAAGATTCCTGGGGGGAGCGGGGAAGGGCAATGCAAGATGGTAGGGGGATAGGGGCCGGTGCCGACTTGACCTGTCAACTCATCGATGCGTGAAATTGCTTAATTATGCATGCGTGTTTTCACACGCGCGATAAGATAACACGCGGTATCAGATATCCTATTCTCTACTGTTCTCATCTTTCGTGTCGTTATCGAGTGTTTTTGATTCCTTATCTCTCTATTTCCGATGTCGTTTCTCGCACTGCGCTGCGCTTTCTCGGAGATTCGCTCACCCTTCGTGGCGTAACTTGACCCGACCCGCACCGCGCACGGAAACACTACCTACGCTTGATCACGGGTGACGATCGAAGAAAAACAGGTCGAGATGGAAAAATTTCACCGAGTTAAGCGGGTTCAGAATCTGACCAAACCGAGATACCGAGACTTATTTAGCATTGTGTTATATGGGTGATAAACGGGACCGGGCGATTCTACCGACTAAAGCGGGTTACCGGCTTATCCGGAAACCGACTTAGCGAGGTTTCACTGTAATATACAATTTTAGATGTTACAATTTTCTGGAAAAAGATTTAAAGTTTACTCACATGAACAGCATTAGAAATAGCATCTAATTGTATGACACATCCAGGACGGGCAGTAGACTGCTGAGAAACAATTTTTATTCGATCGTGGAGTGAGGAATGTTTGACACCATCATCTGAGGAACATTCTGTTGAAAGGCTTACCAAAGAGCCCTGAAAAATGGAAAGAAAAAAATAACTAACTTGGATTATTTTGTTAGGTGCACAAAAACATAAAAGACTTTTTTGGGGCGCAGTGCCCAGTTTTAAAACAAGGAATTTTAACCTTAATTCAATATAACCGAGAGATGGAAATATGGTTCAAAAGACTTCAGCGGATGAGATCAGAAAATTTTACTTGTACAGGGGACAAAACGGAAATTCTGAAAAAATTAAAAACAAACAAATATTGAAGTTTTCATCTCTGAACTTTTTCTTGCTGTCTAACACAAAAGTAATACAATGACGCAAAAATGAAGAGAAAAAGAAAAGGAATGCATTCTTATAAAGTAACAAGTTTTCCGCATTGGCTAATCTCAACTTTAATAGAGCATGTTTGCTCTCAATTCATGTGGTTGTTTTGTTGATGACAGAGACAAACCAAAAAACATTCATACAAAAACTTCATTCTTTACGCTTACGCTTACGAGAACTTTGCACACTCATTTTCTATTGGATCAAAAATACCGTCTAAGATGGATCAAGAAATGAAAACGCGAGAGACAAACTGGTATTCAAAACAAAGTTTTGCAACATGGAAAGAAATTCAGTTTAGTATATACCTTGATTCTACTTCTACGTTCTGAGCTTGAGATCTCTGCCAGTAAAGTTCTGGCATCAATGACAGCTTGATATACTCGAAGACTTTCACCATCTGAGGCTACAAAACATGCGCTTGGTGAATTACTTAAATTTCCCAAGGTTGTGCTGAAACAGAAAAAAAGTGTCGTTATAATGGTTTCATACGCTGACACTAACATCTTCCAACAGCTTGAATACTGAATATTACAAGCATTTACAACACTTCCTCGAACATCAAAATGAATCAGATGTTACTGACAGAAAGACATGAAGAGTAACATCGACGTACCTGGGTAAGAGGGTTGGGATCCAGGCAGCATTAGAGAAAGCGGACATCTGAAGGGAATTGATTCTTGCCAGTTCTGATACCCCACCAGACTTTGATAGTGGACCAACAGCATCCACTCGCCACAAAATAAGTTCACTACAAAATCCCTGCCATGAAAGAAAAAAATGAAATTATTAGTGACTGTCATTGAAGGAAAACAAGTTCTTTGAAACACTTGGAGATCTGAATTTTCCAACACTGAGAAATAAACAGAAAAAGAGTAAGTGATTTTGCCTTTAAAAATGGCTCTTAAATGCCAAGAGCAAACTATTTTTTCAGGGCTGACTCTTCTGTATAGCCGTGTCAATATTTCAAGGTAGACATTCCCCTAATTATGGACCCATTTTCACAGCAAAGTCACAGTTTTTTTCCATCAGAAATAATAATTGTTGTTTTAAACTTTGCAAAATTGCTTCTTTCAATGATTTAGTTTTGAATTGGTCTCATTCAAAAAATTTTAATTATTTTGCAGCCCTCTTTGAGGCAAATTTTTCAATACTAACTCCTCTATACAGTGGTATCAATACTTCAAAATCAACATTCAGGTGGCAAGGAACCCTTTTTCAAAGCAACGCTTTAAATATTTTTGACAGTGACAAAGTTACTTTTCCGGCAATACTTTTACATATTATACAGGAAATTGATTTGCTGCTATAAAAAAATGAATCCATCAACATGCATCACATGCGTCATAAATATGCGTCAATGTGTGTTACTGACCGTTCCAATAATACTACGTTGAAAAATTAATCCAAGATAATTCATTGCCCATATATGAATTAATTGGTCTGTAAAATACAGAAGGACAAAACTTAACTGATAATACTTACAGTGGGTGTTTTGAGTCCATTCGGAACATTTGGGGAGGCTGGCGATTCAGTATTCCCACCATCTGGGGTGTTATGATGAGAGGTGGTGAGTAAAAGTGGTAACACAGGATGACATGTAATGTCATTGACACGGAATCGATGACCTGATGTTCGGGCAGCATGACCAATACTCAAAACCTGAGGGGAAAATGATGATTTTATAAGCAAAACAAACAGACGGATCAGATTTATATTCTGGTTCTCATAATTCTAAATGAGTTTGTTGAAATTTAAGAAAAATTAATTTTTAAAAAACCTTTGGGAACTAAAGAGGAAACTTTTAATAGGAATTCATCGTGTAGAATTTCATTAACATAGGGTGGGAATTTTATTTCGGGACTAGAGAAAAAATTATTTATTGGTTCAAAGATTTCTAAGAAAAAGCATTTTTCACAAATAACTGTCTTGCTACAGAGTAAGGATCCTTGAAAATCTGATTAGTAAAAAAAATTTCATCGGTGGATAATCTCACAGAATGAAACAAACAACATTCATTGTTGAGTCTCTCGGATGAATTAATCTGATAAGTGATAATACTTAGAAAATTGAGGAAGTGCTTTTCTTTTTTTTCTCGAACCATGACAGAAATTAACAAGTCTGAATATAATCCAGCTTTTTAAATATCTTCATAAGTAATTTGAGAGGCCTATGTTGCCTCTTTTTTTCCTTCCCAAATTAACGAGATAATTTTCACAGTTTTAGTCATTGTTACACAAGTTTACTCTAGATCTTACTTGAGAAAATTTTGTTTTGTCTGCAAAAGTCAGTTGCCATAGATTAAGAGTGCCGTTGGTGTGTTTAGTAAGGAGAGACAGTGTGGGAGACGGTGGTGCTGACAGTATGTCGTTGATGGTGGAGTGTGAGTCCCCTCCGACTGAGTGCGCTGCTGGCCCGTTCTCTGTTGGCTGGGCCGGCGGAACTGACTGGGTTGATTCGCCATCTGCGGCTGGATCTTCTTCCTCCAGGCACGGTAACTGTCCTGTATTCTCTCCATCCATGCCAGCTCCATCTAAAAGAAAAGAACAAGAATATGAAATTTTATTTTGCTCATCTGTGGCAATATTTCTGTAAAACTTTTGGGGTTACAACTTTGAAGCAGAAAGATGAAGGCTTTTCAAAACAGTTTGTCCACAATGCACTATAAAATCAAAATACCAACTGAAAGAATCAGAGGCTGTGATTAAAGTTGAAATAAAGTTAAAGATTCAACAAGATTAGGCTTCAACAAAAAAGTACGAGGCAGGGCAACTGATAGTCATCGATGCAATTGAATAAATGAAGACAACAAATAAATTCATAAAAGTTTTGAAAGAAAAACACCACAAAGGATATCTTATTTTATTGGATTAAATGACATTGATTTAAGATTTATTGATTTGTCTTTATTTTTCAGAGGAAATTATGGCAAGTCTACTGTTCTTTGAAAGGTCTTACTCACCTATGTCTGCTAATAATTGAACGGAATAAGCCGGAATGGGCCTGACTACATTACATGTTACTTAATTTCCTGTTATAGTTAATTTTTTTAACAGTAAACTAAGCATTGTTTTGTCTTGAAATTTTTTAAGTATCTCCATCACAATTTGGGGGTGAAGTTACAAGTTCCACAGCGGTATGTAGTTTAGTTCACTGTTCTTCAAGATGTTAATAAACGAGCGGATAAAGTATGGCACAACATAAGACATAGGATGATCCAGATTTTGACAATACCATTCATGACGAAGAAGGAGTGAATCACATGAAATAACCCTTTACCGTTGACAATGATGGTAGGTGACTTGGAAGGTGTGGTGGGAAGGGCGGAGGCTGTTTTAACAACATCACGAAATGCTAACTGAAGAAGAGACCCGGATGTGTGATAAAGGCTGACGTTATTTGACATGGTGGTTGCATCTCCAAGGGGAAATGCAGCTGGAATGCGTGTTGAGAATGAGACTTGGGCTTGGCGAAACGACCCTGAGTGGTACTCGTCCAGCCAGTCCACCACCCTGTGAATAGGAAACTCAAGTTTTAAATCGTCCAGTAAATTAAATATTTTTATCAAAGTGTTACACCTTGGATTCATGTTTAACCATGTATGGTACAAAATTAAAGAACAGAGCAAAATGAACAGATAAGATCCATGTATTTAATATGCAGTCCTTTTGATTAAAAGACCCCTTAACTCTATTGGACGCAAATCCACAGTTTTCACAATTTCTTCATTTCCTGATTCCCTGACCCTTCTTGACATTTCCATGGGCTTTTTTCACTTTTCACTGAATCTAAAATTTCAAATTCCCTGATTTTTTCCTTCCTCTCTCTCACCTTTAATCTAAATCTGCATTTATTTCTGGGTGAATTTGGCACAAAGCATCCCGGGAAGGCAGAACAATGCTAACAAATACCTGTCCACATTGCGAGTGAAGCATCTTGATTTTTGTTCCTTTTTACTTTCGTTCACATTATTTTATTTTAATTGTTTTTACAATATTCAGTTATTTTAGTTTAAGTGGTCGTCTAAGGCCTTGGTCAAGTCCTATACTTTCCTACTTGAATAATGTATAAACAGTGAGGATTTACCATATAAGGAAACTGCCGTCGACAGGATGAATACTGAACAAGAGATCAGGGCTGTGGTGCCAGTCCCGAAGAAGTGATTCAATTTTAGCATCTAAAGAATCGGTAACATGACCCCCGCCAGTCATAGAAGGAGCAGGATCCATTGCTATTGAGTTTATGGAGGTTGCATTACTGGAAAATAAGAACAACCAAAATTAAGTGTACTTCAATGGTTTGACCTAATTTTTTCTGATAACATAGATAGATTGTGTACTGTTCAAGGTTTTTTAAATCGATATTTACAAGGTCTCGAAAAAATTTTTCATCAAAAGTGGCGGTAGCCACCCCCGGTCGAGAAAAATGACGTCCTACTAAAGTCCCGATAGCAAACGGGTGGCCGACACTCTTAGCCACAGGCAACTCCCTTAATCTGAAAATTGATTCAGTTTGAACTCGACTGCAGCCCAAACGACGGCACGGATTCCTACAATCTTGGTGTCTACGGACACATTTCAATTAGAACTACAAAGTGGAAGAGTTTCATTAAGATCCATTGAGTTTTCAAAAAGTTACAAGCTTTTAATGACCCAAAACGAGGAAAATTTTACTTTTTACTTTGCCGGGAAATTTGAATTTCAAGAATCCAGGGTCCTGAGAAAGTTACTCAAACTCCGCGATAACGGTAAACCTTAGACCCATAAAAGTGGGTACCTAAAGAATATCCATGTTACCATGTGTGCCGCTTTTGACTTTATTTTAACATTCCAAATGTTTTAGAAGAGAAATTACGTAAAAACGACTAAACTGACTGCCGACTTCCCCGTTAAGACCACCTTTCACAGCAGATTTCTCGCTTACACATTGGCATCTCTGGATACAAAATTTTTCGGACTCACTGACGCGACCGGCTCGATGCGTAAACAAATGTGGATTACCTCTAAGATAAAAAAAAAACACACACATCTACATCACAGCAAGAATGTGAGTTTTCTTATATCGAAACTTAATTCGAATTGTTTAAATAACCCCTCGTGTCAAATGGGACCCATTCCGTGAAAATGAAAAAAAGGAAAAGTAAACGAAAACTTTTAGCCTACTCACCATCCAAATCATATGTTAAGCTTACAATAAAAGCAACAATGACTTAGATGCAGCGAAGTTAATCGAAAAAGTCTAACATGTACCTATGTGGTAAAATGGGTCCACTGGTAAAACTAAAGCTGGCGTCAGGGATAAAAAGGCACCGTTTCACTGAGAGCAAACGTCAGTGAGTCCGAAAAATTTTGTATCTCTGTCAATGGACAGAAGGAGAGAAGAGAAGAACAGATGAATCGTTTAAATTATTAAAATGCGTGAAATTCTGGAGTAATTCCTTTTGGAAATGAACGCGGTAAAGGTTCTTGCGATCTCCTTAATGAAAGGGTTTCTGCAAACGCAAGAGTCATGCTTGTTGCATCCTGTATAAATGAAGGAAAAAGTAAATGCTCCCACTCTCCTCACAATCAGCAGGTTAGAAAGAAAAAATCAGTTTCTTGCGGCTCCTGTATGGAAAGCTTCAAGTGAGTCGTGCTTGTTGCGGAACTCATAATTGAAGGGGAAAATTCATTTAGATATTCTCGACCGATTTAGTGATTTCAAGTTCATTCGAAGGATTTACGTACATACCTGTGAACCACAAAATCGGTTTTTGGTTTTTTTTTTTTTAATTTTCTTATTGTTAAGGGATTATTTTTTGTTTCTTTTTTTTAAACCATATAGAGTAATTTTTTGGACCTACGTGGCCTTGGTGGACCCTGAGAATTTAGGAAAGGTTTTTGCCATCTCATAGTTACTTAGTTTTATCAACCTTCTTGGAGGGGTGAAAGGGAATGTTTTCGGTTAATATGTAAGATGTAACACGGCAATTTCCTCGACCGGATTTTTTGCCGGAAAATGTTTTTGAGGTTTTTTGTAATTTCTTAACATATGAAAAATAAGTACGCACTAGAATTAGTTTTCTAAACTGTCTTTAGAGAGTTTTGCAAAAAGGTAAAAGACTAGTCTCTACAATAGTTTGATTTTCTAACACCATTGTTATACATTGCAACAAATGGCATTTTTCTGATTTCTAAGGATAGTTATGAGATTAAAATTAGAAACTGGAAATACCTAAGAGTTTGATGACTACTGGATGGATAACTTGGGTGATGCTCATCGCTTCCACTACCATCTTGTGATAGAGACTTCCCCATTGGTCCAGATACTCTTTTCTTTCCTGAAACTTCAAGCAGAAAAAATCTAATAAACGTTTAATGCTGCGTTTCAGCATGGCATTCCTTTCAACGGCCTAACGATAAGTGATTCAATCAATAAGCTCCAATACTGGCTACCATGTATCTGTAGAGAACTTATTTATCTATGTTATGAAAAAACCTTAAACCTTCTTGAGTGTTGAGTTGTTTCACTGAAACTATGGGTAGCTAAAGTGCTTTGAAGATTAAGCAAAAAAAAGATGACCGTTAGAAATATTAAATTAATTTTCAACTTTAAGGATCAGTATGAGAAAAATTTTTCTTGATATGACATGCTTTAGGTGATGAGGCACAGGACAAAAATGCTAAGGTACAGCTTACGCCTAGGGTAAATTTCTACAGTGGATTTGCTTCACTGTAGAATAAGCAATTTCACAGAACTGCCAACTGACAAAAAAAAAAAATACTCAACATAACTCAAGAACTAAACTCCACATCCTAAACTCTGAACTGCATTATACTCAGCAGTTTGATGACTTGTGACCAATGTTTGCATTCATCCATTTCAAGACCCACCTCTACAGAGGCGTCAAGAATTTTGAATGTGGTTGTCATTGCCGCTAACATGAAAACCGAATGTTGTCAATGCTCCGTCACCCTGAGGGTATTTAATTTTGTTGCAACAGAAGTTGGCAGTAGGTCAAGAATTTGAACCTAATCTTTCACTCTAGTGTACTTGGCTAGATTAAGAGATAAACTTGAGGACACATAGGGAAAGGACTGATAGATTTCCAAACCCATTGATTTTTTTTCTCTTTCAAAAGAGAGCAAAAATGTGGGAAAAAACTTATTTTAAATCATACAGAATACTTCAATATAAATGCTTGAGTTTGAGTGCTCTGGATAAAAATGAGTTAGAATCAAATAAAACATTAAATATTTCTTACTAGAATCTGAGCCGTGGTGTTCTGATGTATCTTGATTGCTTTCTACAACTAATCCATCTTCTTTTTCAACAACTTTACGAGTTAATTCCTAAAATTTAGGAAAAAAGAAAAAAATCAATATTATTTATGATGGAAAAAAGACATGTTATTTTTTAATAAGAAGATTACATAAAAAAGTTTTTAGATGGGACACTGATTGAAAACATTGATGTGAGACGCACTTTACGTGCAGACACAGCCACCAATGGGTCAGTTGCGCTGGTTACAAAATCATGTTTTGATGCTTGATTTTTGTAGATAAGCTAAAATTATTGAGATTTGTCCAAACTACAACTTTCTAGGCTCAATATTAATCAAGATATTGCCCTTTGTAAAGTCAGGTTTTTGATAACGTCCACTGCGGCAGTGAAACCACTGGCTTCTTCTACCTTGCTTTTATCCGAGTTTCATGTTGAGCAACCAGTGCAAATGTGCGTCACACTGATGAATACAAGGTGGAAGAAACCAAGGGTGTCCCTACCGCGGTGGATGACGTCAAATATCCGACTTTTTGAAGGGCTATATCTCCGTTATTATTGAATGTAGAAAGTTGCAGTTTGGACAGATCTTATTATTCTTAGCTAATCTACAAAAATCAAGCATCAAAACACGATTCTATGACCAGCGCTAACTAACCCATTTAGCAGTTTAATGAGTTCAATTGCATCAATCTTAGGTTGCAATCCATCTTGCATCCTGCACTTTTTAAAAAAGTCCAATTCGCCCATGTTTTTAAAATGAACTTGGTGCCCTCTGATTATTTCTTGATTTATGCCCCAATCTGCAGATTGTGGCATCCATGCACAAATTCTTCAACCCAGATAACACATCTGCACAGTGAATTGTAAAAAAAATTTTAAGAAAGGAATTGAAAATTAATTTGGTAATAAGCATACAAAGGGGAGAAAAAAGAAACTTACTTGTAGAATATTTTCAGCTTGAAGCGAGAAATGCATTTCCTTATTATTTAACCAGTGTAAAATAAAATTTGGCTCCCTTTCAGGGTCTCCGGTGACTAGACTAGGAACTAAAGGAATATCTGTAACAAAGCATGAAGTTTCCATGAACCTAGCAATACAGAAATAAAATGACGATTGAAATCAAGGATCTTACTAACAACCGAGGAAAAGAGTCCATATCAAGTAAGTTTATACACCTTTTAATAAAGACAGAAGATCCGTTATCTTGATTTTTGTATTTACTTTCAAAGCTAAACTGAGGACAAATGATCCTCTGTTGCACTCTAGAAGTGCGTTCACCTACCTGGCTTAGTCTCTACCAAGTTGAGGTCAATCATCAATCTCATTGGTGAAATAGAGCAGCCAAGAGCACATGTTACTTAACAGTATCGTTAATTTTGCAAACAAATTTTTAAAAGTCTAAATTTTACCGACTTTTGCTAGACCACATTTCAAGTAAGTTAACCTCTTTTATCTACTTGCATGAACACCATGACTACTGGGTACACTTACAGAGAGAGGAATTTTGTAAAATTATCTAAATTAGGATCTAGTAATTGCCTGAAAATTCTGCAAAAATTACACTTGCAATACTACACTATTTTCTGGTTTCATATCGTACCTTTAGCTTGGGCTCTAAACATCTCAACAGATATTTTTAAAAAAATTTAGACTTTTTCATTGATGATAAGCTTATTAGAAGTTAAGTGTATATAGATGTGAAACTAAAAAAATCTGAGTTTGTTTGTAATATCTTCAAAGGAGCACAAATCAACACTATTGCTAGAAATTTTCACACGATATTCTTCACATGAGAAATTAAGGTAATTTTCAAGAAATGTCACTGAGTTTTTTCCATTTGGAAAATAAATTATGACAGGATGTCTGCAGCATTGCAAACTGCGATTCCCATATTTGCAGTTTCACTGTTGATAGTATGTTCACATGCCGTGAAATTATGTTTACCTACTTACTTTAAGACATGTGTTTAAATTAAAAAGAGGACACATTTTATTTCTCACTACCAGTCAAGCTGCATTTTAGGTTCAATGATAAAATAAGTAATTATCAGCCTTTACAAGCTGTGATTTTTTTATTTTCTAAAAATATTTAAGGTAGTACCTGTTTCAGCATTAATACTTGCAGCTAAGTGAAAATGGACAGCTGGGGTAATCCCTGTGCCATGAAATCCATAACTGTGGAAGTCATGAACACTGTAAGTTGATGGCAACGTTGGAATGGTTGTTGTTACGCTCCCCAGATCTGATGTGCTGTGCTTGGCATGCCTTCGTAGATGAAAGCATGTTCTGAAAGTCAACAAAAACTGTGTTGGAATACATGTGATGAAAAAGACTGAAAAAAGCACTAATTTATTTTAAAATCCTATTCTAGTTATGGTAAAAATATTAATAAAAATGTCCACAAGAGGGGGGATCTAGCAAAGTATGGCAGGACTGTCTTGAGGGGAGAGGGTATCTAAAATCCTGAAATTAGCAAGAAATGGTTTAAATTGCTATTTTCAAAAAGTGCTACACTCTGAAAAAAAGCAAATTCTAGAAATTGAAAAGAAATGAACGCAGATCAAAATGTTTAGCAGGTGGAAAATATTTTTGGTGCAAGTTACACAGTTCCCCAAAGGAAAGAGCTCTGTACTAGAAATATGAAACTTTTTGGTCCATTCATGGTACAGATGAGTGCCTCTTAACCTCAGAGGGAGTACTTTTTGAAACAATCAACTTAATCAAATCCATTTTGTCAATGTAGAATGAAAAAAGCAATTTTAGGGGAAGAGAAAATAATAGATATGCTTCACCCTAAGAACCATTTTTTGGCAATGAAATGATACTAGTGAATGATACTAGATGAGAAAGAAAAAAATCTTACTTCATGTGTTTTAAGCGTTGCATGAATCTATGTTTATGTCTGTGAGTACGGAATTTAGGATTTTGAGCTGCAATTGGATCAAACTGAGACATGTTGACTAAACCATCATCCGGAAGTACGGTTTCCACCCAGATTCGACAAATGTTATCTCGGCATGAGGTTACAAGCATATTCGAGACAGATCCCCTGAAAAAGTAAAAATAAAATTAAATTCCTTTACACAATAATTTTGAAGATGTGGAAGAACATAGCACTGCCCTGTTGGGGATGATAAAGGCATGTTTCTGACATAATCTAGATCAACCAGGCTCACTGCACCGGTACAAAGTTTAAATCTGTATGTGTTATATGTTTACTTAGATTAGTAAGAATTCATTTGGCGGCAAGTAAGAACGGCTGTGTTTTGTTCATTATTCAAAATTTGATTGAGTCATGATTGTTTTTACTTTTTCCTCACATACCAATCAAAACAACTTTAAGTTAATAGAATTCACACAATATATGAAATATAGATTGGGTATTTTCCAAGAGACCTAATTTAAATGAGGTCCTATTGCCTAGCTCTATTCAATTAGAGTTTGCTCTTGTTCTAAGTCAACTAAGTTCTTGTTTCACTGTTAAAATAAGAAAAAAGACAAAAGAAAAACTTACTTGGGCATATACTTGCTGGTTTTTCGCCATGAAAGCTGCGTGACGGCCCGCGGGTGGGAAATGTACACAAAACCATAGTTCAGTTCTGAAGGAGTTGACAAACCTCCCAAAGACATGGCACTTGCATCAAGGCTTTTGGATGGGAACAACACTGAAAAAATAAAGAGGACATATAAATTAGTGATTGGTGTTTTAAAGACAGAGTAAACATTAAATTCGTTTTCAATGTAAGATGAGCACAGCATAGTATCTGGTGAAAATGAACTTACTTCACTTTTGAAGAGCTGTATTTTTCAACGTACAAGAAGATCTGCTATTAAAGTGAAATTTTCAATGCAACAGTCCACAGGCGAAGAGACCTTTGTTCATAAAGGCAAATTTTTTAGTAGCTTTAAAGCTTAAGGCTTAGCTTTAGTCAAATAATTAGATCTGGAGAGAAGGTTGTATGAGACTGAATTGTAATCTGATGATTTTGCATCCACTGCATTGCAGATAAAAATATAGCATTATTGAGAGACCTGCAGACTAAAAGGTACCCATTATTATTAAAATTATGAGACCTAAATAATTAACTCTGATATGAAAAGTGGTATGCTGCCAACTCACATTGCTTATTTTCAAACCAAATTTTGACAAGACGATCATTTTTCCCACAGGTGGCAAATAGTGTGCCATCAGGGGAAAATGCCATGTGGTGTATTGGCGTAGCTGTGGCACACTTCCAAACGCAGTCCCAGTCACGAGGGTCATCTTCAATTGCAGGGGTGGAGCTGTCTAATCCTCCCTCTAGACTGCTGCCTACCGCATCTTCACCTATCTCAAAAGTCACTCCCTCTCCTGATAGACCTATAAAGCAGAGGAAAATACAAAATTTACCATCATTAAAATTCAATAAGGACGCACAAATCAAGTGTTGAGCAAATTCGTGGATCCACGACTCTTCACAAGAAGGAACCAATACAGCAGCCCTTTTGTTACAAATTAGGAAACACAGTTCTGATGGTGGCAATAACTGATGACAATAAAGGCCGACATTGCTACAGAGGACAAAAAATGGACCTTAAGTAAAGTAACATCCATTTCTTGTCTACTAAAATGTGCGCTTAGAGGCTCTATCTAATCAGTGGCCAGTGTGGTGGCAATGGGCCTGTTGCAAACTTTAGTTACGGCAAAAATAAGAGTTGTTCTTAAAAGATCACAAAAATCACGAGGAGCGCATCGTCAAACTCTGAAATGTACTCCTAACTTCACTATCTGCGTAAGAAATTTGCGTTTTTTGAAGATTCCCGCTTCTAAAAAAAAAGCTAGTCAGGTAACGGACAGATCAAATAAATCTGAAAACATGGCAAAGACATCGTGGTCCATCATAAATGAAGAAAGAAAAGAAAAAAATAGTAGAAAAAGCATAGATAAAATAGAATACAAGGGCGAGATTTTTGAAGATCCTGTTAACATAGCAAATAAATTTAATGAGTATTTTACCTCAGTTATGGGAAAATCCTATACTTCACAAATTGAACATAAAGACTTTGATCATATAATGAGTGTCAATGAAATATTTGAACTGAACAAAACCGATGAATACCAAGTGGAAGAGGCAATAAACAGCCTTAAAAACAAAAAATCCCAAAGCCACGATGGATTGAGTAACATGACGGTAAAAATGTTCAAATCAGCACTTACTCCACCCTTGAATCTTCTCATAAATAAATCCTTCTCAGAATGTTCGTTTCCAGAATCGCTAAAAATTAGCAAAGTGTCACCTCTATTTAAACAAGGCGCCAATGAAATCTTGAGCAATTACAGACCCCTGTCCTTAGTGTCCCCCTTATCGAAGATATATGAAAAAATAGTGGTGAAGCAAATTTCTCGATTTTTAAGAAAGCATAAAATTCTCTATGAGCACCAGTACGGCTTTCGTGAATCACTCAACACAGAGGCAGCAATACAGAAATGTCATAATGTATTACTCACTGATAGAAAGAAACACAAATATTCAGTCATAGTTGCGGTTGACCTTAAAAAAGCGTTTGACACAGTTCGATTTGATCTGCTAATGTATAAACTAAAACGAATAGGATTCAGTGAGAAATTTTGTAAATGGCTGGAAAGCTACTTGGTGGGGAGGACTCAGTACGTTGAAATCCAAGCTGGTAATAAGAAATTCAAATCAAAGAAGTTGTTAGTACTGGGTGGTGTTCCACAGGGATCTGTGATTGCTGCAATTCTATTTATTTTATTTGTTAATGATATAGCTACATATTTTAAAAGGAAGATTACATTGGAAGCTCTAAAATCATTACTCTTAATCCTACTATTCGCTGATGACATCCTAATGGTTGTCCGCAGTCAATGTCTAGAGAATCTCGAAAAAGACACCTATGTACTCATGAATTACTTACTTCAATGGTGCAAAATTAACTTCCTGAATTTTAATGAAGAAAAGACAGTATTTATGCTGATACATACTAGAATTAAATGTAATTGGAACTTCAATATATTCGTGGATGAAAGGCAATTAGAAGAAGTAAACGCACTAAAATATCTTGGACTCTACCTTGATAATAAATTAAACTTTGAAATGCATTGTGACAAAATAAGATCTAAAATAGCTTCGTCAATTTTTGTCCTGAGGATGTTAAGTAAATTCTGCGATAAAAAACTTCTTCTCCTAGCCTATCACGCACTAGTCGAGTCTCATATAAATTACTGTATCAATACTTGGTCATGCGCGAGTAATAAACAGATAGAGAAAATCTTTATTCTCCAAAAAAAATCAATCAGAACCATTCTGAAACTGAAGCAAGATACATCATGCCGAGAACACTTCATAAAAAATGAGATATTAACATTACCGGCCAAAATAATTATGAGTCACTTAAAATTACTGGCTAAAAGGCTGAAGGGAGATAAGGCAGAGACACATGGGTATGACACAAGATATTACCAATTTAGCAGTTTATCAAAGAACGACACATACCTAACAAAGGCATGGAAATTCTTTGATAAATTGCCAAATATTATACAGGAAAGCATATATAGTCCAACATTCGATAAGCTGGCCACAAGGCATTTGATTGAAAAATGCCCGTACTCAATCAATGAATTTTTGAATGTCAATGAATGAATTTAAGACGATTTGTATGTAAATATGTTTATACCTATCAGTACCTTCATTTAGAAAATGACGTTTTTGTGAAGCCACATGTGCAAAAAGCAAAAGAATAGATAAATAAAATAATAAAATAAATATAAAAGAATACTACAGCACAGGTGCACATTTTGTTAGAGGAGTTATTCCATTCAATCCCTGCTCAACATGGCTGACACTTCCACACGCAAGTCGAGGGGCCACGAGGTCAATCTGGTCAATCAAGGCGGATATCTAACAACGCGAGAAAAATGTGAATATAAACACGCCGATAGTTATCAGTGGATAGTTATCAGGCACATAGTTATCATTGTCCCATCACATGTGTTTTGGTGGATCGGCGTTGACTATGTTGAATATTGCATAGTATTCTTGTGAGCAAGGGTCAGATGAAATGACTCCTCTAACAAAATGTTCACCTGTACCAGGGTATTGTTTTTAAAGCAGGAAACTCGAAAAAAACGCAAATTTCTTACGCAAATTAAGAAGTGAGGAGTGCTATTCAGACTCTGCTGATGCGCTCATCGTGATTTTTGAGACACTTTCTGTGAGTAAAAACTCTTATTTTTGCTCTGGCAAAAGTTTGCAACAGGCCCATTTTAATACAATCCCCTATATTTTAAGTATCAATAGGACTGATAACTTTGTGTCTGTTTGCGATTTACGAGATACTTTCGTACGTTGTACATACTCCTGCACAGTGCATCAACACCAACAGATATCACAATAAATGTGACCATAGATAATGGTAAAAATTTCGTGATTTTCTGTCCAAACGTTGAACACATCATACTTGCTAAATAAAATAAAACATCTGGCGCCAATATCTTTACCTGTCTCCAGCTCATCATCAAGCATCTGTGGGGTTATGTGTTGGTGCCATAGCTGAAGTATGTCACCACCAGTAAGAAGGCGTGTCCCCTCTAGATTCCAAGATAGGGACGAGATGCGAGATTCTGTTTGGAGACTTCCTGTTTGCACCCATCGGTAGTCCAATTGCTGCAGAATAAATACGTGTAATTAATTCTTCATTCTGTAGGTAACAGGATCTCTAACCTCCAAGAATTAATATTTTTTTTTCTCTGAGGCTTTCAACAAAGATATAAAAAAGTAGGTAAAAGCTATCATTTTGGCTAAGCCTGAGATTCTGAGATTTGGGACCTTTTTTCTTTGATTTTTTACGTACGTTCCAAAACATGACACTTGGTGTCATGCAAAAACAAAATTCCAGGTCAAACCGTTCAGTGTGTTTGACAAAGAACCTCCTGTATTACATATCAATCTCTCCAGAAAAATCTAGAGGGTTGATTTCTGAATCTCTAACATATAAATTTTTCCTTGTTTTTGAGATATTTTCAATTAAAAATGAATCCTGTGTTATTTTCCATAAGGGCTCCAGAAAGTGGGCACTAGGCGGATCAGCCAATCAGTGATGACTCATAAAAGTAAGGGGTGCCACTTAGCCCACAATTCAAAATCAGGCTCTTGTTATCTCTTTGGGGGATCATGCAAAAATTGGCTGAAAATGGTAAAGGGGAAAAAACGAAGGTTTCAAAGATGGGAAATTTCCATGAATCTCAAGCTCCAAAAAATTGAAAAGTTCCTGATTGGGAAATAATTCTTACAAATGAAAGTACTGGTATATAAGCCCCACAATATAATGCAACATTACTCATCCATGCACACAAAAATGACCTATACAACTCACTTTGTATTTTTAAAGAAACAGGTTGTTAGTTACAATTAAAACCTCAAAAACTGAATGTTCAACCTAATTCAAATATTATTAAAATGAACAATTTCCCCTTAAAATCTAAGATCTTTCTTCCCCGGAGCAGTCACAGTATGAATACAGCTAAATTTTAACTTACATGCACACTATCATTGCGGATGAGAGGTGTTGGTTCAAAAATGCACACTTGGTTATCGTATGCTGCAGCAATTTTACCAGTGTCAGTAGAACAGTCGACACAACTGATGCGTACATAGTTATGGATCGCACCAGGAATGATCTGCACACGCTCAAAGTTGCTTGCAAGGATCACGATGTTGCAGCCAGCAGCATATGCCTGAAAATCCAAAATAATCACTATATTCTTTGATTCTTCATCCGGCAACAATATCAATACCACTTTTTGTGGCTATTTGTTACAAATTTTTGCAAGAATACAAATTACGTACATATCAACGGTGTAAGTCTGCAACTGCATATCTCGTTTCCTGTGTTTGAAAATCTCCACTCCTATTTTACTTTTGCAACGGAGGACAAATCGGCATCATTCCTTAAAGTTTCTGCAGAATTCTGTTCGCACAAAGAAGACAGATCACGGCAGTTTTTAAGAATTTCCGTCAAGTAGTTTTCCATTTAAAACATGAAGCATGACAGGAAGTCTACTGCGTCGCAAACCGTGATATGTGATTGCGGACTTACACCGTCAACATACTTATCATATTCATATACCTAACATTGCAAAACTAGTCGTTTATCCAGTATGAAGCTTGGCTCACTCATGGTGTGATGAAACAAAGCTCACATCAATAGAGTGCTTCAAAGGATACAATTTTTCACAAGTGTTAGGTTGCCCAGATTACTAGAAAGCCATGAGAATATTGTCATAGAATTGTACCCATTACTTGACAGTCTGCTATTTTCAACACAAGAGGCCAAGAAGAGACAAAACTTCCAGTTCAACATAAAATATTGTCCATAATGCGTGGAAATTGTTTTGCTTACATTAGGTAGCAAATGTATACAGACGTTGGATTCAACAGTACATCTACAGTGATGAATTTTCTTTGAATTTAGAATACTTCAATTATTTACTTGACGATTAATGCATCTTCTTTGCAATTGCATTTAAAAAATAGAATTGATCCAAAAAAGTTCTTGAGTATTTAGCCTCACATACTGATAGGCTAACCTACAGCAGATATCGATGGTGAAACTACCAAACCACGTATCTCGGTTTGCGACGTCGCAGACTTCCTGTCATGCTTTATTTTTTAAATGAAAAACTACTTAACGTCCTGTCTTGAAAATTTCTGTGATTTTTCCTTTTTGGGCGGAGAAAATTCTGTGAAAATTTCAAGGAATGATATTGATTTGGTCTACTTCAAAAAAATAAAATGTGAGCGTAAATTTTTAAACACCGCAAACGAGATACGTGGTTTGGTAGTTTCACCGTCGATATGTAACACACTAAAAGGAGAAATGTCACGATCCACTCACTAACTAAGGAGTGCAAATGAAAAACGGAGTGACGTAAAGTATGTCTTGGTCTAATATTGATTAAGAAGCTAATGTGCGATGTTAACAGTTTGATAATTCAATATTTCACAAAATCTAGGTTATCTATGTGATCTGTGCTGCCTTAAAAACATAAGCAAATTGCCAACCTGGATGACTGATTGAAAATAAATTCATCTTAGGTTGACGACAAATATTAGAAGCAAAGATTTATGAAAAAATTCAGTCTAGGTACTTTCAAAAGAGTGGATAAACTGCAGGCTTGAGTTTGGAACCTTGAAAATGTTCAGTGATAAGGAACACACACATTCATCAGTAAGTACAGCTAAGTACTATATATTGCATTCACATTGTGTGTCTATTTCATAAACGCAGAACTAATCCACAAGAAAAAAATCAGTGGAGCTTTGAAATTAAAATCCCTGCTTGATCATAATCTCACTGCTTCACTGGTAGGTGGGCTCTGAAAGAATTGCGTGGAACTATATTCCAGACTATTGAAACTTCAGCAATGTGGGCTACTACGAAGCTCATAAGGAAAATACTGACTTCTAAATGCCAAAGAATTTAGGAGTACTATGTTGCCCCCGCAAATACAAAAATTGATTTTAATGCACGAGACCCAGTTTGACTGAGATTATCAGTGGATGATGCACAAGTGCAGTGAAGGAATTGTACCTTCATTCAGTAAATTCTACATCAAAAGTGTGAAGGAAATGAACATCTTATCCACCAAAACATTAGGAAAACTAATGCAAAGTATTATACTTACAGTGAAGGGAACACCTTCCACACTGCCCACTGCAAAACATCTGTCTCCAGCATTGCAAGCTCCACTAAGAATTTGGTGACAGTTCATTTTAGCAACTATTGGGAGGCTCCACGTCCCAAACTAAATTATAGGTGGATATTAATTTCATGATTTAGCGCGAAGGGAATTCACTAAACATATCACTTGCGTTTCGACCATTTTTAGCCTGTCAACACTATTTTGTATGGGATCAAAGACATACAGAATTGAAGACGGAGTGCTCCTATCTAAAAGCACGGGGAAAAAGTGAAGCCTGGTTTGGCGCTGGGTGCTTGTGTGAGTGTGTAAATGAGCGCGGTAATCCATGGCGGCAAACGGAAATTTGATTTGAACTTGTCCTCTTGATTTTTCCACATTTCTCCTCGAAACGTATTTTAAATGCCTAAAACGAATACTTTATGAAAATTGGGACTGCGAATTTGTATAATACTTTTTCTTTTTCTCGGTAACAGGCAGTAATTTCAGATAAAGTCAGTTTTTCTTTTGCTCATGGTGGTTCTGCCAGTTCAAAACGGCCGTTACAGTCCTAGATGACCGTTACTCCCAAATGAAATTGATCGGTCGACGACGGACCAAAACTAACCTAAAGTTAAAAAAATATGAGTGTGTAAGTGAATTTGGGCAAAAATTAACCTAAAATACTTTATTTCCGCAATTTTATTTAGTTCCCGCCCTACATTAGAATTTCAAACTTGTCACGATTTCGCCGCCAATCCTCTAGCCAATAGTAGAGGTGATAGAAAAGAAGCATCATTTTTTGCTTTTAGCGAAGCGCTCCGTCTTCATGTCTTTGTCTGGGATTGCCCGAACAGGAACAGCTGTAGAATAAAAACAACTTGCTAACCTATAGAGAAACGGGCGGTCATTCTCTGAAATCGATAACACGATGTTTTTGAAACGACTATCGATTCAATGTATTGTTGCCAAATAAAGCATTTAAAGAAAATATTTTTTTTTCGTTGCTTCAAGTCGTTCGACATTTTTCTTCGAAAAAATGAGAATTTCTTCGGTTGTGTCCGCACCTAGTATTTGCACGGAAGTTTAGGTGAAGCCACCCTTGATTATGAGAAAATATTCGATATTTATTTATCGAAATTTCGGCGAAAATTCGCTAACACTGCGTGCACCGTGGAATGAGTGGAATCTTTGGACATGACCGCAATAATATCTACCATCTCAATTTTCTGGATATTTTACCATCATAAGTACCGAGGGGCAAAACAAAACGTGCGGCTCTGGGCATTGAAGTTTCTGCTTGGTTGAACGAAGTCGGGCAAATGTGCGTCATCGAAGTCATAAAGTTTGTGACTTATGTAAATTGAGCTCTCATCCATCATCAGAGCGTGCGGCGGCAAAAGGACGATACGGTACTTAATTTTATTCGGTGCGGTATACCGTAAAGGTCAAACATGCTGCGCCGCCTGCCGCTCACCACAAATTTTAAATCAGCTTAAAATAATTCAATGATTTGTATCCTAACCTAACTAGATGTTTCAGTCTTTAAATTGGGACGCCGTTTACATCAAGTCTACTGGAGCAAACTTCATGTTCTGAAATCGAATGTAACTCGAGGTAGTCCCGTGGAGGGGTGGGGGAGGGGGGGGGGNGGAGCTGGGAAAGAAACTCTGGGCCATGACGAAGTAATCGGCGGCATAGTAAATTTCGAGAAAATTCAGGTCGAAAAATCAAAATTTGAGATGCCGGCGAGAATCATTCTGAAAAAGTGCCGGCGGATTACGTGAAAAAGGGAAAAGGAAAATTCAATTTTAAGGTAAAGCTTCACAGATATTTGGGGCACGTGGGATCTATGAAATTGATGAATATTTAGCCTCATAGTAGCCTTAAGCCATTTTTTATCTATACCTAATTATGTACATTTTTGTAGTTAACTTGTGTAAGTAGTTTCTAAGTTGACGTTTTGTTAGCCTCTGTGCAAAATTACAATAAAAAGTTATTATTATCATTATTCTCTATAGTGTCCTCTGACCGTGAGAAAATTAGCACAACCAGGTTGGGGTTCGTGGTATCGCATGCGGAGCGGCAGCGGCACACCATGGAGGTGACTAACTTAAGGGCGTTATTAAGTGAGTGTATGCTTCCTCAAGATTGATTTTGGTCATTCCACAACGTTCCTCAACGTTCCTCAACATTCCTCATAATTCTTCATGCTTCCACAAGATTTATTTTGGTCATTCCTCAACGTTCCTCAACATTCCTCATGATTCCTCATGCATCCTCAAGATTTATTCTTGTCATTCCTCAACTTTCCTCAACGTTCCTCAACGTTCCTCAACATTCCTCATGATTCCTCATGCTTCCTCAAGATTTATTTTGGTCATTCCTCAACGTTCCTCAACTTTTCTCAACATTCCTCATGATTCTTCATACTTCCTCAAGATTTATTTTGGTCATTCCTCAACGTTCCTCAACATTCCTCATGCTTCCTCTACTTCCTTAAGATTTATTTTGGTCATTCCTCAACGTTCCTCAACTTTCCTCAACATTCCTCATGAATTCTCAAGCTTCCTCAAGATTTATTTTGGTCATTCCTCAACATTCGTCATGATTCCTCATGCTTCTCAAGATTTATTCTGGTCATTCCTCAACTTTCCACAACGTTCCTCAACGTTCCTCATGATTCCTCATGCTTCCTCAAGATTTATTTTGGTCACTCCTCAACGTTCCTAAACGTTCCTCAACGTTCCTCAACGTTCCTCAACGTTCCTTATGATTCCTCATGCTTCCTCAAGATTTATTTTGGTCCTTCCTCAACGTTCCTCAACATTCCTCATGATTCATCATGCTTCCTCAAGATTTATTGTGGTCATTCCTCAACGTTCCCCAACGTTCCTCGCCGTTCCTATGTTCCTCATGCTTCCTCAAGATTTATTTTGGTCATTCCTCAACTTTCCTCAACGTTAGACTATGCCTGCCCGTTTGCATTCCATGGGGAGGTCTGGGGGAAAAAATCCCGTCAATTTCCGGTGTCTGCCAACACCTTCCCGGTGCTTGTGGATTGTGCTAGACTACACCTGCCCACTTGCATTCCATGGGAAGGCCTGAGAAAAAAAAATCCCGTCCGTTTCCGGTGTCTGCCAACACCTTCCCGGTGCTTGCAGACTGTGTTTGACTACACCTGCCCACTTCCATACCATGGGAAGGTTTGGGGAAAAAAAATTCCGTCGGTTTCAAGTGTACACCTGCCCACTTGCATTCCATGGGAAGGTCTGACAAAAAAATCCCGTCGGTTCCCGGTGTCTGCCAACACCTTCCATTGCTTCCGTACTGTGATAGACTACACCTGCCTTCTTGCATTCCATGGGATGGTCTGAGAAAAAAAATCCCGTCGGTTCCCGGTGTCCGCCAACACCTTCCCGGTGCTTGCGGACTGCGCTAGACTACACCTGCCCACTTGCATTCGAAGGGTATTTCTGGGGGAAAAAATCCCCTCGGTTCCCGGTGTCAGCCAACACCTTCCCGGTGCTTGCAGACTGTGTTTGACTACACCTGCCCACTTCCATACCATGGGAAGGTTTGGGGAAAAAAAATCCCGTCGGTTCCCGGTGTCTGCCAACACCTTCCGGTGCTTCCGGACTGTGGTAGAGTACACCTGCCCACTTGCATTACATGGGAAGGTCTGTGGAAAATAAATCCCGTCTGTTTCCGGTGTCTGCCAACACCTTCCCGGTGCTTGCGGACTGTGCTAAACTACACCTGCCCTCTTGCATTCTATGGGAAGGTCTGGGGAAAAAAATCCCGTCGGTTTCCGGTGTCTGCCAACACCTTCCCGTAGATTGCGGACTGTGGTAGACTACACCTGCCCACTTGCATTCCATGGGAAGGTCGGGGAAAAGAAAAATCCCGTCGGATCCCGGTGTCCGCCAACACTTTCCCGGTGCTTTAGGACTGTGGTAGACTATGCCTGCCCGTTTGCATTACATGGGCAGGTCTAGGGAAAAAAATTCCGTCGGTTTCCGTTGTCTGCCAACAACTTCCCGGTGCTTGCAGACTGCGCTAGACTACACCTCGAGTTAGGTTAGGTTAGCCCTGGTTTGCTCACTTTACTCTTGGTTATGTCGGTGTAGGCGAGATTAGAGAGGGTAATTTCATAATTACCAGCATTCCGAGGAGGGAAATCGAGGGGAAAAGGGGTGATTGGACGAGGTTAAATATTGAGGGATCGGAGATTGGCTCTCGGAGTACCGGAAGATGCTCACCAGGGTCGGAGACGAGGGGGGGGGGGTCCGGTCCGAAAGAG